GTAAGCGGTTCGAGAGCCTCGAACTGGGAGATGAGCAGACTCTCCGGCATGAAGTGCCCGGCGCGGAACGCATACGTGCGGAGATAGTCTCGAATTCACCGTCCAGGTGGACGAACTGCACGTCAAGACCGTCCGGGCGCAACCGGTCCCGATAGTCCTTCCGCAGACCCGGACAGGCAACGACGCCTGTTCGTCCCGCATCGGCACGCCCGGACAGCAGGCCGCGATCGCGTCGAGCCACGGCACGCGATCTTCGTCGGTCAACGGTGTCCCGAACGCATCTTGGCGACATTGGACTCGGGATGCAGATCGTCACCGTCGACGAAGTCTGCTCCGGAGACGTGGCGAGATCTACTGCCACGGTGCTCTTTCCAGCACCGGCCACACCCATCACAACTACCTGCACGGTCATGCTTCGACCATGCCCGACTACCGGAGGCCAGACAATACTCGGGGCGATACCGGTTCGCGAGGGTGCCATAGCGGAACGATCTATTGGTTGGGTTCAAGTCAGATGGGACTGCCCGACGGTGTCGGTGGTAGAGCAATAATTTCGCGGCATGGCCAGATACGTGAACGAATCAAACCGGCGGGGCAATCGAACAATGAACAGCAATCAGTTCTCTCTCCTACTGCTGACTACGGTGATCCAGCGCCCTTGTGGGCGCATACAACATCCACGTCACGAAGCGAACAGAAACGCAGAAGAAAATCTCGCGTGGGAGTCGCGATAAAGCAAGAAAAGAACGCCTCCAGAGAATTTCCTGAAGTCCAAAAGACAAGGAATCTTACGGGATCTACTGGGCGGCTCGATCGAATTGGATTGCAGCATATTAGGCTTACTCCTGGATCGGACAGGTGTGTCGTGCCAATCCCGCACCTCAAAATAGCCAGCTATTCTACGCCAACCAAGGTATCCTGAACGACGCTACAAACCAACTTCGAAGCTCCAGCCTTAAAGCCATGATCGTGGGATCAGGGGCCATCGCACGCTATCTCGAGAACGAACTCGGCATAGTAAACGGAGTTGTCATTGCCCTTTCTTCGGCTGCCCAGCCGGGTAGCGATGTGACCGTGGTGGACGAGATGTACGGATCTAGCTTTTCCCGACTTGGCGAGATGACTCTTCACTCAGACGATTTCGTTACCTTAGCCAGACGCGACCTCGATGCGACTGAAGTCTGACAAACCATGCTCAGCCGTTCGCCTTTGCGATCGAATCCTTGCCTTCGGCCCGCTCCGCCCTCGATGGTGTCGTGCTGGATGGGAACGAACTTCTTCTTCGGCAGCAGGAACAGCCACGTCGCGAAGACGAACGGGCCCGTTCCGGCCGGCAGGCTGATCGGAGCGAACGCAGACACCAGCGTGCCGTGGATGACAACAGTCACCAGTGCTCCGAAGACGGTGTAGACGAACGACTACGCCACGACGGGTTGTAGAACACCGATCCGAGCAATTGCCGTCAGCACCGAACTGGCCCGTAGAGGACCATTCCCGGTGTCGACAGTGTTGGCGCCCAGCGCCAGTACCGGAACCCATCGCTATCGCGGAACCGATGAGCGCGAACAACGCCGCCGCGACGCGACCAGCAGCGCGATCACGAAGATAATGCCGGTGACAGTGTTGTTGATCAGAAAGATCTGGGAGACGTTGCGAAACAGCGTGTCCCACAGGAAGTTGAAAGTGATGTCGGCATGAACCGACGCGTCCCCCGATGTGCTGGGGAAACTGGCCGGCGCTGAGGTCCGACGTTTCGGTCGCGGGAACTGGAACGCCGCGAGGAGGAAAAAACCAGTTGACGAGGTTGGCGGAAGGTCAGCGCCGGTACGCCCCAGGTCTTGAGACATTGGCGACAGCCAGGAACGCGATGGTCGACGCGGCAGCTCCCACCACGAGGTAGATCCACGGCATCACGCCCCCGGCAAGGAACGTCGGAAATGCAGCTCCCACAGAATTCCGTTGTATCCGTACAGGCCGATACGCATCGAATCGTCGTCAGGTGCAGCATCATGCCGGTGACGGTGGATACCACCAGACCCACCACGGCACCGATCGCGACGGTGATCGTGTCCGCGGCTATCGCTCCCCAGAAGATACCGACCAGAAACAGCAGGCCCGTCAGCGCATTGCCCTGGAACATCACCTGCCCGGAGCCTTTGAGATTGGTGTCGATGAATCTGAGCACGACGTTCTTGTCCACGACGTCGTCCCAGGGTTTGGTGATGGTGGTCATCGCACGTCCTCGATCCATATCCGACGATCCGCGTCATCCCCAGAGCGGGACGGGCGGAATGGTGGTGTCGAACTGCCTTTCGCACCAGAGCCCAGAAATCACGAACCTTCGCCTTGACGGGTTAGCTCTCCGGACCGAGGACTTTGAAGATGAGACCGGCGTCGTTCGGTAGCCGACTCGCTCCGGAAACGACCTGCCGTCACGGCCCGGAACTACCTCTTCGAGAATGGCGTCGGCGTGCTCCTTCGGTGTCAGCAAGGATGACATTGCCGAACACGTCGTGGTCACCCATGATTCCGCCGTATCGCACGGGGAAGCGTGCCGGTTCGATCACCAACTTCTCGGTGAAGAGGTTCTTCCCGTCCGGACGCTCCGCCTTGATCATTGTGGAGTACAGGTCGTAGACGAACATCTCTCCGCCGTCGTGGTACTTGCGACCCGACATCACGATCTCCGAGAACAACAGCGTTGCAGTCGGATCCACCGTGATGTCGGTGCGCGCGTAGTACCTCGCGTTGCGGTGTGGATCGTCACCCCGGCATCAGTTCGAGATACGAATTCTCCGCGAGCACCACTTTCTGGAGTTGCGACGCGTGATTGGCATCCATCCGGTGAACCTTGGTGGCCGACTGAGTGGTCACGTGCGCGAGAGAACCCGGCTCCATCTCGATGGTCAGGAACAGTCGATCACCTTGCAACACACTGCCGGACGTCGAGATCACGTAGACGCACGGCATGGTCGGCAACGCTTCGTCCCAGTACAGCGCCTGCTGAACGAGCACACGGTGTCTTGCGGTACATGCCCGCAGAATCGTCTTGTCGCCACGGTCGACAAATCGCATCTCGAGAACGCCGGTCTTCCCGACCTTGCCGGCCGGAGCCTGCTTCGGCTGGTCCTGGTACTGGTCGAGTTCCGGGATGGTCGGGATCGGACCCGGGAGCGCCCGCGATGCTCCAGGGCGAGCGGTGCGCTCACGGTGCGCTCGCTCCCACTTCCTCTTCGTCGAAAGAGGACTCCGTGCACGATAAGGTCCACCACTTCCTTGATGCCTTCCCGGTCATGCAATTGGTGAAGACAAACGCTTGACGTCTCCCCGCATTCCCTGAGTCGCGATCCATGACTCCGAGATCGGCGTTGACGTACGGTGCGAGATCGGTCTTGTTGATGACCAGGATGTCGGACTGCGAGATTCCCGGACCGTTCTTACGCGGAATCTTGTCGCCTGCAGCTACGTCGATGACGTAGATGAAGAAGTCGACGAGAGCCGGGCTGAACGTCAGTGTGAGGTTGTCGCCACCACTTTCGATGAAGACCACGTCGGTGTCTGGGAACGTCTTCTCCATGTCCTCGACGGCCGCGAGGTTCATACTCAGGTCTTCGCGAACGGCGGTGTGCGGACAGGCCCCCGTCTCGACGCCGACGATGCGTTCCTCCACGAGAACACCTTTGAGAGCCTTACGCACGTGCTTGGCATCTTCGGTGGTGACCACGTCATTGGTGATGATCAGAACGCTGGTGCCCCGCTTGATGAACTCCGGCGTGATCGCCTCGATGAGTGCGGTCTTCCGAACCCACGGGTCCGCCGATTCCGATGCGCGTTGTCTTCTTCATCGTTCTCCTTCTAGTTCATGAACATTCGGACGTGCGCCTTGACGTGAACCGCAGCCAGAATGTCGATCATCGGGGCGAAATTGGACATGTCGTCGAGTCCGTAGTCACGCACTGCGGCGTACTCACGGCCGGCGCTCTGATTGACCTCGAACAGAATCTCCTGTGTCCGCAAGGTGATCTACTCGGACGATGCGAAGCGCAGCGCCAGGAGCAACGTCATCGCGACACCGTACTGATTGACCGTGAAAGCGTCCTCCTCCGGAGAACCCATCTCCGCAGCAATTCCGGGGCCGACGGGGTAGGTACCCGGCGTCTCCCCCGATGCGATCGCGGCCAACCACTTGTTGAACAGGGTCTCACCGGCCAAGCGCCCGCCGAGTTCGGCCAGCTGCTTACCCATCGGGTACTCATCGTGCGTGCTTCTTCGTTGAGCTTGCGTTCGATCACTGCATGATCAGCGGCGAGGATCGCCGAGAAGTCACCGGCGGTCGCGCCCCGGTGCGCTGCGAGTACGGCGATCCCGTCGCACGTCGCGCCCTGATGGGCGGCCGAGCACAAACTCCCGCAGCGACGGACCGCCCGTGACAATTCCTTGCGCCACGGCCGATTCCAAACCGTTGGAGAACGAGAAGGAACCGACCGGGAACATGGAATCGGAAAGCTGCATCATCCGCATCGCGCGGTTGATGCTGAGCCGGATCCCTCAGACTGAGAGGGTCATGGGTATGCCCCTCGCCCTCACGCGCGGCCGCACCGAACAAACGGCGTGCCTCGTGTGGAGCGATGTACAGGAATGACCTCGGCGCCCGGGATGAAGGTGTACTCGATGCCCTCGAAAGCATGTGTCCGCATCACCGAGCCCATGACCGCCTTGTCGACTGTCAACGGAACGTAGACCTTCATTCCCCTTCACCACCGCAGGCCAGTGCTGGTTACCCACGGCATGTCCCAACTCCAGGCACGTCTGAATCATCTTCTCGGGCGTGACGTCGACCAGCGCGCTCAGGTCGATCTCCAACACGTCCTTGAGGTTGATCCTGGCCACGACCACGGTGTTCGCCGGCTCGTCCCACAGCAGAATGTCGCCGTCCTGCAACTGAATACCACGATCGAGCGAGACGGCCGAATTCACGGCCACCGATCGTGGTGCGTCGTCAACCGACTCTTCTGCGCTTCCCACTGATCGAGCGACAAGACGTCGACTACCGCATTGTCGAGTCGACCGGCCCCTCCTCGTCGGTCTCCTTCCCGAGAAGCGCGTCGACTCGCGTCGGCTTTCCGCTCGGCGCGGTCATCTCGCCGTGCGTGTGTGGCGCGCATCGGCGCCGTGCGTGTGTGTGATTGTTCCCGACACTGGGAGACCCTAACTGAAGAAGTAAAGTTGGTTCAAGCGAATGGATTCGGCAGGTTCGACGTATGCGTGGACGCCGTCCGCAGTCACCGCGAAGGTCTCCGGGTCCACCTTGATTTCCGGGTGGCCGAGTTGCGAACCAGATCACGCTTGGTGACTGTTCTGGTCCCCTCGACAGCAACAACCTGACGTTCGAGACCGAGCCGGTCCCTTGATGCCCGTCGTCGAGTGCCGCTCGCGAGACGAACGAGACCGAACTCTACGGCAACGCCTTGCCGAATCCACCGAACATCGGCCGGTAGATCACCGGTTGTGGTGTCGGGAGTGAAGCATTCGGATCTCCCATGGCATGCCAGCTGATCAGACCGTTCTTGATGATCGTCTTCGGCTTCGCACCGAAAAATGCGGGCTCCCAGAGAACAAGATCCGCCATCTTCCGACACCGATCGACCCGACCACATGCGAAAGACCAAACGTCAACGCGGGATTGATCGTGACCTTCGCGACGTAGCGCAACACGCGGAAGTTGTCGTGCGTCGGTGAATCCTCAGGCAGCTTTCCCGCGGGACCGCTTCGCACAGTCCGCTGTTTGGATCGCGCGTAGCCAGTTTTCTCCAACGCCCCATCGCCTGTGAGTCGCTCGAGAACATCGAGATGACGCCCATGTCCTGCAGTACGTTCTCCACACCGATCGTCTCGGCGCGAACGCGGGACTCGGCAAACCGAAACATCGGAGGCACTTTGGGATTGAGGTTATTGACAGACCATGATCATGTCGAAGAGCTCGGCCTGAGTATTGATGCCGTACGGCAGCGTCGGGTTGGTCGACGCCGGAAGTACGTTGTCCTCGCCCGTCACCCGCAGAATGTCGGGTGCGTGACCGCCCGCACCCTCGCTGTGATAGGTGTGAATGGTACGGCCTTCGAAAGCCGCGATGGTGTCCTCGACGTATCCGGCCTCATTGAGGGTATCCGTGTGAATGGCGACCTGAACGTCCATTTCGTCTGCCACCCGCAGACTCACGAATTGTGGCCGGTGTCGCTCCCCAGTCCTCGTGGACCTTCAGACCGGCCGCACCGGCCTTGATCTGTTCGACCAGCGACTGATGCCCGGACGAGTTCCCCTTGCCCAGCATGCAGACGTTGACCGGCAAACCCTCATTGGCCTTGAGCATCATCTCCATGTTCCAGATACCGGAAGTGATGGTGGTGCCGTTGGTTCCGTCGGTCGGGCCGATACCACCACCGATCAGCGTCGTCACTCCCCCGCTGAGCGCGTGGTACCGCCTGCTGTGGTGACACGAGGTGCACGTGCGGATCGATGCCGGCGGCAGTGAGGGATCATCTGTTCCTGGAAATCGCGTCGGTCGCCGGACCGGTGGTCAGCCCGGGGTGACGCCTTCCATCGTGCTGGAGTTTCCGCCTTGCCCCAGCCGACGATCTTGCCGTCCTTGATTCCCACGTCTGCCTTGACGACACCGATGGATTTGCATCACGACGATGACCACGTTGGTGATCACGAGGTCGAGGGCACCGTCGATGCTGCACGACTCCGGATCCTGGCCCATGCCGTCGCGCAGCGTCTTGCCGCCGCCGTAGATCGACTCGTCTCCGATGGTTCGAAGATCTTCCTCGACCTCGATGTACAGGTCGGTATTACCCAGTCTGATCTGGTCACCTGTGGTGACCCCGAACGAGACCTGAATACTCTTATCTCGAAATGCTTGTCATGGGTGTTGCTCTCCTTCGTCCGCCGTGAACGAGAATCAGTCGGTTTGAGGTTCGGACGGGAAGCCGAGTTCTTCGGCACGCTGGACGGCTCCAGGAGGCCTCGGCCGGTAGGCGGCGTGGGTCGGCGCCCAACCGTCGACAAGTCCGTTGAAGCCTTGAACCCGCCGTTACCGCCGAACGGCACCCAACGTCACCTTCTCGTCGCCCGGCTCGAACCTGACCGCCGTGCCCGCTGGAATGTGAGGCGCCAGTCCGAAGGACTGTTCACGATCGAAGGACAACGCGCGATTGACTTCCCTGAAGTGGTAGTGCGAACCCACCTGGATGGGACGATCACCGGTGTTTCGGACTCGCACCAAACGGGGACGGCCTCGTTCAGTTCGATCGGCTCGTCCGCAACACGTATCCGCCGACCGGCACTTTCTTCTCGCCGCCGGAATCCTTCTTCGTCGATTTGCTTGCCATCTTGGAGTGCTCTGACATCTCGGTCGGGCTACTGGATCGGAGAGTGCGGTGACGAGCCGGCTACCGTCGAGGAACACCGCCTCGACCTGCACACGCGGAATCATCTCCGACACCTTCCATCATCGTCGTCGACCGTCAAGGCGTGCGATGCGTCGGCCATGATCTCCTCGAAAGTGTCTGTGCCCTCCCGAGCTCCCTCCAGAGCGGCTGCAGATGATGACTGCGACGGACTCCGGATGATTGAGTTTGACCCTTTGCCTTTCGCCTCAGTGCGACATCCGCCAACATGAGAATTGTCAGCTTGTCGAGTTCTCGCGGTGTCAGATGCATTCCGAACGCTCCTTGTCGATCATGCGGTAACTCCTGTCGTCGAATACATGTCAGCTCCCTGTTCCGTCGCTTCGGTGAGAGGTTCGGCCGCCTGCTGGACGAAACCGCTCCTCCTGCCGCCCGAGTACTCGTTGATCGCGTCCAGAACCGCCTGGGCATGTTCCGAGGCGACCAGCACCTCGACACGCAACCGCTCCGTGAACACGACGTCGTTGCGTTGCCCGCGAAACTGAGAGGCCGAGTCGCTCGCGGAGGCATGCGCTTCCGATACGACTATCGATTCCGCTCCGGCAGCCAGCAGCGCCTCCCGAAGCTTCTCGGACTCGATGGTCTGCAAGCCCGCCGTGATGAGTTCGTGCTTCAGGGCGCCGAGGTTCCGGAACAAGTTTTGCCCTCGACCAGGACCCCCGAGGTCGAACCCGCTGGTCTGCGGCGCACCACCGGCGTCGACGGAATGCGGCGTTGTAGCGGTACGCGTCCATGCCTCTGTTGACGACGGTCGATGTCCACCTGGTCTTTCGGAGCCAGCTTGGGACCGATGGTCTTCTCGATACCCGTGGCGATCAGCCAGGTCACCACGAACGAAAGCGATGACGACGATCCAACGCCAACGCCTGCTCGCCGAGTAGTCCTGCGCCGCCGCCGAAGAAGAGTCCGTCGCGGCCGATCGAGATTGATCGCCTTTTCGCCGAACAAACCGAGAGGAGGTAGACCGAGGATGCCGCCGATTGAAGTGGACCGCGATGACGTCGAGCGCGTCGTCGAACTTGAAGATCGACTTGAGCGCGAGCACGAGTGGCAGACCAGTCCGGCAAGCGCGCCGATCGCCAACGCGAGAAGGTGCTGACGGAAGCCGGCGCAGGGGTGACGGTCGCCCGAGACCGGCTACCGCGCCGGTGATTCCACCGATCGCCGTGGCCTTGCCCTCGGTAGTACCTTTCGATGACGAGCCAGACTGACCATGCCGCCCGCTGCGGCGACGCGAGTGTTCATCAAGGCTTGTGCCGCAACACCATCGGCGGCCAATCCGTCGCCTGCGTTGAATCCGAACCAGCCAGAACCACAGGATGCCTGCGCCGATCAGCGCCAGAGGCACCGAGTGCGGGACTGCCTCGGCGTTGGGGCCATCCCGGACGTTTGCCGACCACCAGCAAGATTGCCAGGGCGGCGGCGCCGGCGGATGCGTGGACGACAATTCCGCCGGCCCAGTCCTGAGCTCCGCAGGGCTCAACCAGCCTTCGGGATTGAAGAGCCAGTGCGCGATCGGGGGTAGACGATGATCGACCACAGCACGAGCAGAACGGCCCAGCCCAGGGGCTTGAGCCGGTTTGCGGTCGCACCGGTGATCAGCGCGGGCGTGATGATCGCGAACATCATCTGATAGACCACGAACGCCAGAGTCGGTACCGCGACTGCACCTTCGATCAGGTGGAAGCCCGGGGCGGCGGCAGTGTGTATGTCCTGCAAGCCGAACAATTTGAGGTCACCGAGGAAGCGGAACCCCAGTCTCCACTGAACGCGAAGCTGTATCCGAACACGACCCAGGTAATCGAGGCGAGTCCAATTGGGACGAGGTTCTGCTGCAACATGACGAGCGCACCTGCTACCACGCACCAGACCGGCGTAGAAGAAGGCGAGTCTGGGAACTCATGAAGAGAACCAGGCCAGCGGAGATCAGCACCCACGCCGTGTCCCCACTGTCTATCACTGCTTCGGCTAACACCATTTCCATCGACATCGACGACCTCCGAGCATTATTCGGACCTGAACAAAGTCATTGGTTAGAGCAGCAATTCGCGATGTTCCAATTCACTGGACGTTACGCTACGCCCCATAGTTGCACCTTCTCAGCAAAATCGGGGAACATCCGGTTTTCACGTTTAGTAGAGCATTGTTCTGGGAAAAGATGGGACTTTTGCCTAAACATTGCGGACGCTCCACAACCTACAATTGCGGGACCAATTCTCACCGAAAGTGGTTTAAGTCTTGCAAAATGGAGAACGTAGCCGCAGGTGAGCGACACTTTCGAAGCAGAAATGCCGTTTCCAGCTCGGGACTTAGCTCCCTAACCAAGACAGCCGCGAGCGCCCTGTTTGATTACCAACGTCGGTGACCCGCCTATCCAATCGGGTAGGTAATTTCACCGAACATCTTCTCACCTGTTCAGATGACTAACCTTCACTGCACTGAGGGCAATCCTGTCGTTAATATGTTCTTCATCCGTACTGGATATTTCGACCGGAAAGTCGAAGATCACCTTTCGATAACCTTTGAAGGTGAAAAACTCTCGCTGTAACTCTTTTTGTTATGCAGAACCTAGAAGGAGGATTGATCCCACCAGGCGAGCACTCGGATGCCGGACACAGTCAGCCACTTCGACGGCTCTCCCGCCTTTGTGTCGACCTCGAACCACACCCGCCCCGGTTGGCGACCGGCCTGGAGCCACGTCCCATCCGAAGGCTCGAGCGACCCGGATCATCTCGATCGCGTCCGCCATTCGCGGATCAGGCTCATTTCCATACGACAACGACGCTTCGCGGAAGTAGTCGGCTGCGTTGAGCACGTTGTAACGCCACCGGAACGGGTACGCAAACCGGCCCGACCCAGGGCCCCACCGGTTCGCGGGTCGAGAGTCGCCGGAACAGACCGCGCTGCAACAAGTACTCCTCACCGGATCGCCGAGCCGCGCGCGTCTCATCCGTTCCCCGGTCGCGATCTCGTACGCGAGAAGCCCTTTGAGTGATTGAGCGTCGAGATGAAACGACGATCGCGTCGAACCTTCGGTCCACTCGCAGTTCCACCCACCATCCGGAGTTGATGCCGCACCAAACCAATGCTTGAGTTCATCAACGCAAACATCGAGCCACACGTTTTGCCACCGTCCAGGCGTTGATGCAGCAATCGACCTCACCGTCCCAGTACGGCCGGCCCTCGTACTCCCAGCGACGGTTTTCCGCGAGCAGTTCTGCGGTTCGACGCTCCCGCAGAACACCGGCGTCGAGGCCCCACTCACGCAAGGAGTTGAGCGTCAGGTTGTTGCCGTCCAGGGTTGCGAACTTTGTTCTGCTGCTTCGGGTCCCGCGAAGTCGAATTCTGCCGGGAAGAACGCCCCACCCGCCCATTGGCCGTCTCGGTCCTGCAATGAAAGCAGGCGTACCAAATCCTTTGGTAGCGATCGACGCGCGCGTCGCCGCCCACACAGTGGGCGCTTCGTTCGGCAGATCGCGCTCCACCTGCCACCGAATCGCTGGATCCGAGTCGAGGAGCCACGCGAAGCAAGTCGGTTCGGGGTGCCATCTGGCAATACTATCGAAAGGCGAAGCAGGCCATCCGGTTAACGCATTTCTCGACGTCTGATGCAATGGTGAACTCCGGACCCATTGCGTGGCCTACACCGGGTAATCAACGCCGCCCGCACCGCCACGATGTCGGCGGCAGCGACCTCCATTGGCTTGTCCCCAACCGAATCAACGTGCCAGTGGACAACTCCTCTACCACCGCAGATTGGGGCAGCGCGCTGCGATCGAACCTAACTCCGGAATGGAAGTATGTTCCCATCCCACCTCGACCTCACCTTTCGACCGATTCTGAAGATCTATGTAGTCGCCGATGCTCCACCGAGCTCGATCCGGTTTCCAATGCTTGACGATAACTTTCGCGATCGCGTCTCCGATGTCAGGGCCGAGCAGCTGCCGGGTGCTGTCGGTGAGCTGCGTCTCCGTCGGCAACGACACCCGGACACTGTTGGGGGCGCTGGTTTCTAAGCCGCCGACCCTGGAGATGATCCGCCGCGCGGTCCCGTCCTCGGGCGACAAACCGATGCTGTACCCCGGTCCGGGGTGGTCCGAGTATCCACCTCCTTCGAGCGGGAATGCTCGAAGATTTTCACCAACCCGTCCACACTGAGATCCGCGGGGCCTTTGTCCAGTTTTTTGGTGTACACCACGCAACGCCAACTCCGGGTCGATCGTTTCCAGGTCGTCGAGGAAGCGCGCATCGTCTGCGCCACCTCCTGACTCGACTGCACCCGCGTGCCCCAATATCCGGCTACCGTCGGCCATCGCCCGAAAAAGCTCATCGCCCCGTCCTTTCCAACCACTGCGTAATAGTCTCCGTCCGACTACGTGTCGCGACATGAGCAAGGTCGGCAGTCACGCGGCGTCTTAGACCGGGTAACCCAGTGCTTCCGCACCGCCAGGATGTCGTCAGAGTTGACGTCTAACGGTTTCTCGCCCAACCGAATCAGCGTTCCGTTGGGAGTTCCTTCCAGTACGAAGCGACGACGGGCAGTTTGCTGTGATCGAGATCGATCCCGGACTGGATGATGTCTCCCACCCGACTTCGATTTCGCTGACCTCTATTTCCCTGCGCGTTGCGGTACTCCCAGCGTCCCCCACCGCGCAGACTCCGGCGACCAATGCTCGATGATCGCTTTCATGATCGCGTCCCCGACGCGTCGCGGTCAGCAACTGCGACGCCTCCCCGATTGCTTGTTTCTCCGGGGAGGGTGACGTTGACAGAGATTGGAACCCTCGGAACATTCCGGCCGAGAGAATTGGATTCTCAAGAACTGATATCTGTCCGGGTGCAACAAACTCACGATGTAGCCAAGGTCGAAGGCAGCAACGGTTGCCCTTCGATATCCTTCGCTGCCCGGAAGATTTTCGCTAGGACTTCCCACGCCTAGATCCCGGTCGACTCGAGAGGCAGTCTCGGGCGAAAACACCCAAGCTTCTCAAGTGCTCGATCAATGTTCCTCAGACTATGAAGAAACGAGAACACCTCGCTGCAATGCCTTCTACCGGTTGCGTCCGAGGGCCCCAATACCCGATCACTGTCGCGCACGATCCGAATTCATCGACCTTTCCCTTTCCAGCCACTCTGCGATCGTCATAGTCGTTCTCGGCAAATCATTGTCATTGAACAGTTGTGGTCCGGGTTGCTGCGGAGCGCCGGGGCATCCGGATTCACCGGCACCTGACCGACATCAGGCAGAGTCGGCACACTGGTTCCTCGGTGCGACCTGGCGAGGAGCCCAGGGTGGAGTTCCTCGGGTCTCGGGTTCGACCCCGGATCGCCAATCCCACCGGGCGAGAGAGTGATTCCCACTCGCCACGATCGGGATCGCCGGGAAAGTGGGTTGCGAGGGTTCCGGAATCGCGGGATCCGGGCGTGCAGGTTCATTCACGGACGGAACAGAGGGTTGATCATGCTCGGCAGGTGGAACTGTGCCGTCGATGGCGGGTATGCCGCGCGGTGGCACTCCACCCGGAGCGTCGATCAGCTGGTGCGTAGCCGGATCGGGACCGCGGCGCGGTAATTGCGGGCAGGCTGGTCGGTCCGCGCCATCCCTACCTGCAGGCAGCCCCGAGTGCGCCCAACGTGGGCTCACAGCCGTCTGAAACCTTTGGGTAGAGGAATCTCCGGTCGTTCGGTCGGCAGTCCTGCTGCTGCGCGGATGCTTCGGATGTCCTCGACTGTTAACGGCGTGGACAGATTCTTCTGGATGACGATTGTGCCGTCCTGGTAGGGAAATGCCCCACGCTGGGCGGGAGCTGCGTTTCCTCGATCGGCAACTCAGGACCGAAGTGAGGTGCAACTGCCCACGATCGCGTCACCCGGTACGTTGAACTGAGGCGATGATTCGGTTCGGCGGTAGAGCACGGTGACACGCGAGTCCCAGATATCGGCTAGCCCCTGAACGAGCTTCAATGCCAGCGAAATCAGTGATTCGTCGGCAAAGGCACATGCGAATGCGCCGGACCCTGAGGTGCCCCGAAACTAACAACGACTTTGGCGTCTCCAGCGGGTGAATACAGGGTCATATGTCGTCCCAATGAGAGGGGATACATACCGCCGGTGGCATCAGGGGATCGTCTGCGCTCGATCAGTGCGGCTTGATCGATTTTTCCGTCGGAGGTACAAGGATCTGACGGATATTCGACGCCAAGGCTTGCTCGGAGTCCGGCACCGTCGGGGGCATCGCCTACTGTTTGGTACAAGTCGACGTCGAAGACAGGATCGATGTCGCGAAGCAATCGTAGCGAACGTGCAACGAGCGCGGCCGTGACGGCCTCGCTTTCAGGCGCACCCTTTCGTGGAATGACCTTCACTGTCAAAGCCCTACGTAGGATTGCGGCGCAGTGATGACGTAGGCACTTTCACTCCCCTCCAAATACGATGATGTTGATGTTCTCCATCCCGATGACCTCGTCGAACGCATCCTCCATTATCTGAGCAGCTTGTTCTTAAGAACACCATCACCTGCGGACGTGAGCTTGGCCGTAACTTCTGGTGTCACAGCCGGCGCGAGCCTTTCGGTAGGCGAACCTCCGGTCGTTCGGTCAGCAGGCCGACTGCTGCACGGATGCTTCGGATATCGTCGGCAACCAACGGGGCGCGTGGATCACGCTGGATGACGATCGCTCCTTCTCTTGTACGGAAAAGCTTCGACAGTGGGTGGGATCTGCGTTTCGTTGATCGGCATCTCAGGGCCGAAGTAGGTGCAACTGCCCACCGTTGCGTCGCCGGGCACGTTGTACTGAGGTGTGAGCTCCGCATCCCGGTAGAGCACGGCCGTGGGAGCGTCCCAGATATCGGCCATACCTGGACGAGTTTCAATGACAGTGAGATCAGAGATTCATCGGCGAAGCCCCTGGGTACGGCCAGATGAAGGTGCAAAGTAAGGAACCTGCTCCTGCCGTACTCCCGAATCCGATGAGAATTTCGATGTTTCCGTTGTCGGTGAACAACCTGAGTTGATGCCCGAATGAGAGTGGGTAAATCCCGCCTGCGGCATCAGGAGACTTTCTGCTCTCGATCATTGCGGCCTCGAGAGGCCTTCTGCCTGAGGCGTGAGGATCCGCCCACCATTCAATGCCAGAGCCTGCTCGACCGTAACGCCGTCGGGAAGGTCATTCCTCACGGAGCGATACATGTCGACGTCAAAGACTGGGTCAAGCTTTCGAAGGAACTGCAGTGACCGCGCTGCCAGCACTGCGGTGACCGATTCGGCTTCCGGCGGCCCCTTCCGCGCCATGACTTTCACGGTCAACCCGGACGCCGGATCGCGACGTAAAGATAGAAGCAGACAACGTCACTCCTGCTCGAAGACGATCGACCAATCGGAACAGTCTCTGGCGCTACACCGGGTAACCCAACGCCGCCCGCACCGCCACGATGTCGGCGGCATCGACCTCCATTGGCTTGTCCCCAACCGAATCAACGTGCCAGTGGGCAGCTCCTCTACCGCCGCAGATTGGGGCAGCGCGCTGCGATCGAACGTAACTCCGGAATGGAAGTACGTTTCCCATCCCACCTGGATCTGACCTCTAACTCGCGGTTGCAGATCGAGGTAGTCGCCGATGCTCCACCGAGCCCGATCCAGTTCCCAATGCTTGACGATCACTTTCATGATCGCGTCCCCGACATCCGGTTCGAGCAACCGTCGCAATTCGGGGGAACATCCTTCTCCGTCGGCAACGACACCCGGACACTGTTGGGGGCACTGGTTTCCAGCCCGCCGACCCTGGCGATGATCCGCCGCGCGGTCCCGTCTTCGGGTGACAAGTCGACGTCGTAGCCCGGTCCCGGGGTGTCCGAATACCCCATCTCCTTCGAGCGGGAATGCTCGAAGATTCGCACCAACCCGTCCACGCTGAGATCTGCTGGCACTTTGTCGAACTCGGCAGTCGAGACCCACGGCAACGCCAACCCCGGGTCGATCGCTTCCAGATCGTCGAGGAAGGCCCGCATCGTCTGCGCCACCTCCTGACTCGACTGCACCCGCGTGCCCCAATACCCGCCCACTGTCGGCCGCCGCCCGAAAAAGCTCATCGCCCCGTCCTTTCCAACCATTGCGCAATAGTTTCCACCGTGACACCGACGACGTTCTCGTCGTCGAAGCCTCTCAAGGCGAGTTCAGCATATTGTTCGTTGAGCATCACCCACACGAGCTCAGCGTCCATCCCGGCTTGTGCGAGGGCATCGAGCTGCGCCTGAGCGGTCTTGGGCCAATCTCTTTGCCAAACACGGCCCCGGAAGTCCGTTACGTAAGGTTCACCGTTCCGGTCGAAGATGAAGTCGTAGATGTGTTTCGCATCGACGATGACGTTCATGTCCGGGAACCAACCGTCGAACTTGAGCTCACCGTTCTTCCCGGCATCGAATGGCAAGATGAACGCGAACTGCCCGTCCACCAGCGTGACGAGTTCCTGAAATACCCGAGAAGGCCTCAACCTCCGAGCGGCGTCGTACCGGAGACCTTCGCCTGCATCACCCCATACCCCGACATCGGTGCCATCCCGATCACCGATGATCCGGGACTGCAACGTACGCAGATCCAACGGGCCGACTCCTTCGACCTCCACGATGTCCGGCGGTGTTTCGCCGGGTGCGAGTTGCGGTGGTTTTTCTCGTGCGAACGGCATCCACCACAACGGATCCTGTTCAACCCCTGGTCCTCCGGGCTGTCAGGCTGTGTGGGAGGCATCGTGACCGCGGGTCGCTGCGTCGGATCCTCGATGACGCCAGGGCTGGGAATGGTGCTCCGGATCGGTGGCGAAGGGGTCGAATTCCGGTAGTCCGGGTTGCTGCGGAGCGCCGGGAGCGTCCGGATTCACCGGCACCTGCCCGACATCGGGCAGAGTCGGCGCACTCGGTTCCTCGACCTGACCTGGCGAGGGAACATTCGGGGTAGAAATTCCTGGTGTCAGGTTCGGCCCTGGATCACCGATCTCCCCGGCGTGGATGGTTCCCACTGGCCGCGGTCGGGATCGCCGGGCGAAGTGGGTTGCGAGGGTTCCGGAATCGTGGGATCCGGGGCGTGCGGGTTCATTCACGGAAGGGATCGTGGGGTGGTCATGTTCGGCAGGTGGAACTGTGCCGTCGATGACGGGTATGCCGCGCGGTGGCAGTGTGCCCGGCCGGGGAATGTTTTGAGCAGGGGTCGATGGTGAAGTAACCGGGGGCCGGGTGGGTGTTGTCCGGTTCGAGACGATCAGGTCTTCAGCCCGGATCGCGCCGACGGCCAGACGGGCCCCGCGCAGCGGGGGACGACGAAGCTCATGATCTCGTCGGTGTAGGGCTGATCAGCTTACGACCGGGGTCCAGATGCTGCGCGTCGCCTATCCGAACTGGTTCGCCGGTGCTCCAATCGTACAAGGACAGTTCCGAGTTGGAATGGTCGAAAACCTGGTAGGGGCGTCCCTGCTCGTCGTAGGTGACCTGCAGGTCGTGCTCTTCTCCCTGCGCGTCGGTGTACGTCCAGCTCCACACGTTCGGCACCTTCGAAGGTGTGCCGGACCAGTTGGTTCCGTTTTCGTCCGTGAACGAGACGTCGCTGACAGCGGGTTCAGTGGTGTAGTCCTGCCCGCCGATGTTCGAAGTGATCGGCTCCTGGGTTTGATCGGCGAGTATCGCGTCGCCGACAGGGTTTCCGGTTCCTATTTCGGTGATCGGCGGTTCGGAGACCTCAGGTTAGGGTCACCGGACATGAGCTGGCCGAGGTCTGAATCTGCCGGGTCCGCAGGTTCGGTGGGTGTAGTCCCGCCCGCCGATGTTCGAGGTGATCGGCTCCTGGGTTTGATCGGCGAGTATCGCGTCGCCGACAGGGCTTCCGGTTCCTGTTTCGGTGATCGGCGGTTCGGAGGCCTCGGAGTTAGGGTCACCGAGCATGAGCTGCTTCGAGGCCTGAATCTGCCGGCTCCGGGGGTTGGCGGCGAGGACGTTTTGTGCGTCCCTGCGTGCTTGTTCGCCCTCCGGGGTCATCGGGCCGATGAAGTTCGCCTGCGCTTCGAGCGCAGCACGTTCTTCCGGTGTCAGCTCCGGGTCGGCGAGGGATCGGGTAGAGCAGGTCTCTCGATACCGGCGGTGTCGACGACCTGAACGAGTTGCCCGTCCCGGATCTCGTAATGCGTCGGAACAGGAGTGCCGTTGGCGTCGTACGCCCACGGGGCATCGATTGTCGAGACCGGATTCCCGTCGGCGTCGAAGACGTGACCGTGCCATCGGGGTTGACACTCATGTGACCGCCGGGCGGCACCGTCACCGGAATCACGGATTCGATGCGACGACGTTTCGTCGTGGATCAGGAAGAAGAACCGGCTTCCGCCGGTGATCGGATCGAACACCCGCAACGAGGACTGCCCGCCAGGTGCGTACGCAGTCAACGGCGACGCGACAGTCCCGACCGCCTGGGAGAGTACTGATTCGGGCGTGCGGGGGCTGGGTCCCGGCCGCCTGCGCACTCCGATACCCGCAGCGGTGAACGCCGCGGCCCCGACGAGGACCAGTTCGAGATACCTGTCACGGCCCGAGTCCTCCCGGTTGTGGAAACATCTGCTGCCGGATCCGGAACCGTTTGGGCCGGTGCGATATTCGAATCCGAATCCGAATCCGCGGGGATCGGTCCTGGACCGCGATCGGTGGTGGTTCCCTCACCCGGGGTGGGTGTGGGTGAGGAACCGCTGATGCCGATGCATTGGGGAATGCACCGACACCAGTTTCCGGGCCGGGGACTCGGAAGTAATGGGCGGAACCTCGATCGTCGGCACAGGGACGATGGGGTGCCGTTGTAGGTGGGAAAGTTCGTCGGAGCATTGGCCCCGACATTTGGGCCACCGCCTGGAGCCTGCGCACGGGGAGCCCGACAGTGGTCGTCGGCGCAGCTGTCGACGTCGTGGACGGCGCACTCAGGCACGGGTTGATGATCTCTGGCGGGATGGGCGCACCAGGTGGCAGCGACGCAATGAGATTCAGGTAGATCTGATGATCACGTGCCCGCACCGCCGCGCAGTCTTCTTCCGGCGTCGCGTTCGCCGGAGCGGCGGAGAGTGCGATTCCCGCACCGATCACTCCGGCCGCTCCGGTCAACAGCGCCCCGGCGGCAAGCACTCCCGCGAGAGTCCGGCGAAGTCGTCTACCGGACTTCACCGGTGCGCACCACGATTGTCACTCTTCTTCGTTCGGAGTAGCGCGATGAGTTTGTCTGCGCCCCACCAGAACAACCGTCCGGAGATCGACATCCACAAGAAGAATGCCAGGTAAACCAGGATCGTCCCGTAGTCGTTCGCCCAGCCGGCGAGCTTCCCGATCACTGCGAATGCCGCGATCAGCAACCCCAGTCCGACTGCGGTGGCGATCACAGCCTTGGAAAGTGGACTGAGTTCGCTGTCCGGATCCCAGTCATCAACGTCTGCAACGTCTTTGCTGTCGACGGCAGCGGGTTCCGTTTGCACACTGCGACGTTCGGCGTTGTTGACGGTCATGGCTGGAACTCCAAACAGGAAGGGAGAGCGGGGACAACGAGTCGCCGGTACTGGGCGCGGTATCAGTTCCAGTACTGGTAGGCCAGGGTGACGTACCCGGCGTTGGCCGGGTTGTTCGGATCAGCCAGGTAGACATCGACGTAGCCACCAGCATGTGCAGCGGCTTCGCCGATCACTACGCGGTCGGGGGCGCTGAGCTTGCCATCGGGGCCGACGGTGAGCGCCGAGCCCGGTGCGAGCTCAATCCACCGCTGCGAGCCTGGAACGATGTCGGAGATGGCGTCCGGGATCGGGCTCGCCGCCAACGCCGCGGTTTCCGCATTCGAGAGCGACAGACCGATCCGACCCTGCTCAGGTTCGACGATCGGAGTTGCAGCAGATGCCACGCCGGCGCCGAGAACACCGATCAGGGCGATACCTGCGCTGAGGGTTCCGGCAGTGGCCAAGGTACGAATCTTCATGATTTCTCCTTTGTGAGGCGTGATGAGTAACCACCCCGGGACGGGACGGATCGGAATTACTCGCCAGCAGCGCCGGCGAAGTCTGCGAGGGTCAGGAGCCAGGCGGGATCGGAGCACACGAACAACGTGTTGTCGGACGTCGCCGTCGACACCGACAGTTGTGCGTACGAGCGGATCGTCACCGGCCCCATGCACGCATCAACCTTCACGTGCACGTTCTCTGCCGTGATCGACGCCTTCGACGACTCGAGATCCTTCTTCCCCCAACGGAATCGTCGTGATCGTGCCCGGCGCAATCGTCGACTGAATACTCGGATTCACCGACGCATTCACACCCGTTCGCCGACGGGACACCCGAAATACTCACACCGACAGACGGGCCGAGCGAAAAACCAAGCCCCAAGCCGGTCCGGAGGAAACATCGATCTGGCAGCCGATCTGCAATCCCTGCTCGATCATAACCGGTCTTCACTGCCGAATCGCCCTGACCACCGATCGTGCCGGTCACCCTTCGCCGACACGAACCCCTCACGGGTGAACGCCGTCGTCGCCAGATTCGGCACCCGGGTTCGCCGACAGTTTCGTGGCGGCAAGATCCAACGACCAACCGTCATCGGTGACAGTGCGTCGCGGACTTGTCCGCCAACGCCGTCGGCGTTGCCGATACACTCCCTGCGAAGACCACTCAGACGACAGCGCGGCAACCGCACGCACGTCGCGAGCCTCACTCGCGACCCTCGATCGACGATGGGATAGGCCGTTTTGCGATTCGAGCGACATGAACTGCTCCTCCACGTGACACAGCAACCAGAGCGGTAGCCGACAACTAACTGGAATTGTGTTTCTCGGACGAGTATCAATCGTCCTGTTCGCCAGCGCGCCGACTCCGCCATCTTGGTTTAGGGTGAACTTTCGGTAACAGATATATATCGACAGGCTTATCATCAGCAAAAGGACCTAGGTCCCACTAATGAGCAAGGTCACGGTTTGAAGGTAAGAAGAACCCTCAGAAACGGTGTGGCAACCGAACTGAACCCCACGTTTCGTGGGCCTCAGGGCATTTGAAGGCCGAAAGTGCGGACATCCAGCCAGTGCACGTACTTGAATGTGCAACCAACAGGCACTACTCGGCATCTGATCGCAATCAAGACACCTGAGCGGGGCCTAGGGCGCAACTCCTGCATGGTTCACGCGGAGATGTTCACTTCGTGGTCGGCGCGAACTCGCAAGACCCACTTGCGTCGCACCGTTAGCTTGTCAATCACTGATAGGCGCAGACGACGCACACAAGTAGTACGCAGGTACGAGAAGGCTCTGACCAAGACCGCCAGTCCTTGATCAGAGCCCTACCAACTCGGAGTCCGAAAGTTATGCCGGTTCTCCCATGATGCCGAGATGCCGTGCAGTCCCCGGACACACCAGGAACCTCTTGCACAGGCGACCAGGTGTTCTAGCCCGTCCGTGCTGTCGGGTAGAGATACTCTTACCTTCGGTATAGGCGTCAAAGATAGATCCGCCAGTCGCCGCTCGGCACCTGAACCACGGCCGGACCTTCGACAAGCGAACCTAATCCCGGGCGGGACAAACGAATAAGGTCCCGTCACCGAAGGAGCGACCCGCATGCTCGACAGACCTTCTCGTCCCGTTCTTGGTGGAACGCGATAGGTCGATCCGGCTTCTGACCACGGTGGTGTCGATGTGGTCCGCACCGATCCCGGCAGAGCGGAACAGCGGGCTCCACAACCGGAGCGACGGTTCCAACGCCGTCATCAGATACGGCACAAATCCTCCACCGGTCGACATCGACAGGATGACGTTGACACGATCGCCGTCCACAAACCATTCAGGCGCCCCAGGCCTTGGTGACGAATGGTGACAGCGACGGTCCGTCGCTGGAAACCAGCCGAACCCGGAAGCCCGGGAGGCTCGCAGAGCCAGTGCCATCTCCCGTGCCAGGCATCAAGGCGCAAGCAAAAACCGGAACCGGATAGTTCCCCAGCGGCGTCCAGTTGATGCGGTCGCTGCTGCGTGCGAACCCGATATTCGCCCCACCACCCGTCGTGTAGGTGAGGTAGTACAACCCGTCCGTGTTCCGGAAGATGCCCGGATCACGCACTGAGCCCAGACGGCGGCCTGTACGCCGACTGCCGGACTGGAGCTGAAAGCCGGTGCCGTCAGCCGACTCGTAGACATCCATGTCACGGTCGCTGGCATTTGCTGAACGCCACCATTGTGTATTTCCAGTCAGGCGGCGGCGCGGCGCTGCTGGCAGGGGCTGCGACCAGCAACCCCGCGACGACGAGGATCACCAGCGATACAACAGAAAGGCCGGTCCGTTTTGTCGGAATCACCGATGAAGTATGTATGACAGCAGGCCCACCATGGGTAACTTCGGTCGGAGGCAGAGCAGGATCGTTACCTAAGGCGATTCGTCTCGTAGTGACGGCGGGACGGCGGCAGGTCGGCCGTTAGCATCACGCCATGGAACTTGGGGTACATTTCGCGCTGTCAGACAGCGTGGGCGGAACTTCTGGACGCGCGCGGCGACGACGACAAACTCGGCGCTCTGGTCGAGGACATCGAGGAGACGGGCCGATCCGAGTTCTCGTGCGACACGGACAAGGCGTGGGATCCGATCCTGTGCGCCCTCCAGCACGGGAGTACGAGCGCGTGTCCGAGAACTGGCCGACCTACGGCGTGATCCTGGGGGACGAAGACCTCCAACACCGACACCGACGACCAACTCGTCACCTACCTGGCACCCGATCGGGTCGCCGAAGTCTCCTCGTACCTGGCGGAAATCACCGAATCCGAGTTCGGCGTGCGCTACGACGCAATGCCACTCGACGACCGCAACCCGGAGTACGGCTCCGACGAGCGCGGGTACGCCTGGGGCTGGCTTCGCAGGAAGTGGCGGACTTTTTCCAGCGCGCGCGGCCCGAGAGCGTCGCCACGTGGTATTCACCTTGCGGTTCCTGACAGTCGAGCCCACTGCCGAAGCAGCGCGCCCTCGAAGAATGAAAGACCGCTTGACAGTGGCGCTCAACTGCGGAGGACCCTCTGCGCGGGTTCTTGCTCCGACATTCCTGTGCCGCAGCGTTTACTGGGTGACCGAGTGCGTGTCCTTCTCGCAGCCAGACTTACCAGTAACGGAACCGTAACGACAGCCCGCGCGCTTCTCTGGCATTCACGATCTTGACCTAGCAGTTTCACTGAAACAGTTTATTCTTCAACGGATTTCCAGTAGTGAGCTGCATCTCAAACCAACCCAATGGATTGCTCATTGTTTTACGACATGTCGTTGACTGTTACCGGAAGAATCAGACAAAGTGGCCCGTGGAGGCTAGCCAACTCGAGTGGGCTACCGACGAGGGAGAAGCCGAATGACGCCACCTACGCAGGATGATTACCGCGGCCGCATTGACCACCTGCCGGTATCGCAGCCATCGCACTCCAGCGGCGCGGGCGCAGCGTCGCTGTACTCCGATCGCCGACAACGGGCGCATCGGCGTGCAGCTGAACCAGGGTGAACCGGCATTGTTCGGCCAGCTCCAATGCCGCGCGCTGCGATCGAAGCATCACTAACTCCACCCAGATCGGCGTGCGCGCCTCGCACAGGAGATCGCGCTTCGAGCGGCCCCAACGTCGTCTGGGGACGTCTCGACCAGTTCGCCAACGAAGCAGCCTCCCGTGGTGGAGAAATTTCTCTCGGCGTACTCAACCCGGCGAGGGTTCACAGGCAGTTCTTCTTCGTGTCAGAACTGGTAATACCCTCCGCCGTCGGACCGATGCTTCGCTCTTCCTGTGGCGGGGCGGAGCATGATTTCAGTTCCCGTAGGCCACGTTCGTCGCCGAGTGTTGAACAGGCGACGCTATCCCGGGCAGACTTTTTGCAGGGACTGTAAACGGGCACCGATTCGAGCGAGAAATTCCTTGTGCCGCTGCGTAATAACGCATCCACAACCGACCCCTGAGGCGAACGAATAAGCTGGACTCGAAGAGATAGCGATCATCGTGACCGCCACCGCGGTGAAACGGGTGCTGCCGTCATGGTGCGAAATGGTCGTGACGCTGTTCCCAGCGGGATCCGGTCCACAGGGTTCAGCGTGTGCATGGTGAATGGTAAGCCAAAACAGCAGCGCGGGACCATCGCTGAGGTGGTCAAGACCGTCTTTGATTAATCGTCCCCGGACCGAACAAAAGGACTACGGGAAGCATATCCAAGAATTCTTGGATAAATTCTCGAACTTCGCCGTCTCATTTTGGATGCCTTCGGGATCGTCCCACCGCACCGCATTTACTATTTCCAATCTGAAACCACGCACCTCTCAATTCCTCGAAATCGGGCGCATTTTCGGATTCATGCGTCCGCATAACTCTCAAATATATCGACGAGCGTTTATAAGGACATTTTACCTTCCCTGTAATCACGACTCTTGCTCGCCTTCAGTGCGATATTTTCCGTTTCCCGTCATATCAACTTCACTTTCCTCTTAGCCGACCAAATGAGGTCGTCCAACTGTACCGACCTCGTTAACGACGACTGATAGGTTATTGCCGAATCATAGAATCGATCGTTGCGTCGCCGCTGCGGTGGCCACCGCATTTCGAATTGCCTGTTCGACAAGGGAGGGGTTGCCGCGCCGCTGCATTCGATCCAAGCATGCCCAGTATTCGCGACCTATGACCACTCCGGAGGATTGGTTCCTGGCTTTACGTCCAATTCGCGGCGGATGCTCGAAAAATGGGATGAGCTGCAGAGACTAGGGAGAGGACTACTGCTTCGCGATGGCGGTGACAGCTACTGAATTGGGCTGCGCGAAGAGCAGTTTCGAGCCATCGATCATCCCCAGTTTGCTGGTTACAGCTTGCGCAAACCGGGCGCGTGTACGCCGCCATGTGGAAAGTACTGTTTCCCATGGCACTCTACGCTGTTCGGTACGCGCGAGGGTGGTATTGAGATATCACGTCAAAGCGCTCTATGGCCGGCTCAGGTGTTGACCTGATTTTCGTCAGAATCGGTATCTCGTGCTTGGCGGTCAGTGTCTTCTGCAGATGCAGTTTGTCGTACCTGTTTACCGGAGGAGTACATCCTTCTGTCGGTAGAGCGCCGTGTCAGCCAAGCACCGAAAACATCGTTGAATCCGGTGGGATGCCTTCGCGTGTGAAGGGGTCCACCACCACGCCACGAACACAGCAGCGAAACCGCACAGAGGGACGAGAGTCCGAGAATCGACCGCTCGAGGAGCGGTGAGCCAACCGAAAACGATGGTCGGGATCGACGAACTCGAGTAGATCGTTCTCGCCGGCTGCGGTATCACGTAGGGCGTGGATGCGATCACACGCCACACCCCTGTGGTGATCACACAAATTGCATAAAAGGTGGTCATGGTGCCGATTCCGCTTCGAGGAACGGTCGTGTTGTCGGTGCACAGGACTCTCTTCTGCTGGACGCTGCTGTACCAGGTAGTCGGTTTTACCTGGAATCATCAAGGATGTGGTTGTGTTCCTCTGGGATGCGGTAGGCGAGGTAGTCGTGATCGGCGATCAGGGCAAATGGATGGCCACCCTCGAAGGCGAAGACGTCTGGACCGTCAGCCTGCGAATCCTAATCTGCTCCCACATCACAATAAGCAACTGCTGGCCAGTGTCACTTGACATGACACTGGTCGCGCAAGTGAGTCAAAGCCTGCCTTGATTAGTCGCCCTGGACCGAGAAAAGAGACTACGGAAGCAAGTCCAAGAATTCTTGAATAACTTCTCGCACCTCCGACTCATTTTTGCTCGAATTCGAAGGATCATCCTGGTTAATTGCATTCATTATTTCAATTTGACCCCAGGCCCCCTCAGGGTTTCGGAATCTGATGCACGCTCCGATTCGCGTTCTCTGACGTACCTCTCGAATATTTCAACTAGCGCATGCAAGGATATTTTTCCGTCACAATAATCGCGATTAACCTGCTCAGCTTCCAGGCGGTAAATTGATTGATCCGTCATGTTTTTCACTTTCCCGATAAATTGCCAAATGAGGTGGTCACAACTCTGCCCGTTTCATTGATGATAACTGATAGGTTGTTTATCGAATCATAGATCACGGTCGTGTTTCCTCTGCTCGGGGTCGCCACCCCTTCAACGAATGGCCTGTTCAACCAGGGATGGGAGTATGCCGCGCTCTTGCATTCGGTCGAACGCATGCCCCGTATATTCACGACCGTTGACTATTCCAGGACGATTGGTTCCGGGCTTTACATTTATTTCGCGATCTCCGCGCCCACCCACAGGCGTCGAGGCCGGTCTGTCTCCGACGGGAATAGTCGGATCGCCTAGGGCTCTATTCCGGCCTCACCGGCGGTGGCGGCTGCCCTGCCTGCGGCTTCGGCGTCTGCAGCGGTTCCGCCGCGCCGCAGAACAGCCTCCACCGCTTGCACGGCAGCTCCGCCGACTCTGCCTCCTGTGCCTACGATCGGAATGAGGGAGACGATATTTGCTGCTGCGGCAGCGATCTCAGCCGGAGAATGCTCTGGTGAAGGTTGTGCTCGTTGGCCGCGATTGAAGCCGAACGGATCGACGGCGGCATCGTGCACGGGGACTACGAGGAAGTTTCGCCACGCATCTCCGAGCGTTCCGACGCTATCGACTGTTGTGTCGACGGCACTTTCCCCGACACCCCACGCGGTGTCCCATACTTTTGCGGGAACGATCGGTCGTCGGGCGCGTTCGGATCTGGCGGGATCGGCACATTGCCGGTGAACCCGGCAGGCACGTCCCCGTGCGCTTCGGCAAGCTGGTTCGCAGCTTGTTGACGTGGACTGACAGTGGGTTTGGGGCCCGGACTGGTTGTGGTGCGTGGCGACTGATTTGGTTGCGCGGGTTTCGAAGGTGCAACCGGAGGGACTTCGCCGTGTGCTTGGGCGAGGTTGGTTCGTTGCTTGTTCCTGAGAGGTCGGCGCGGGCTTCGGTCCAGGTTTGGTGGTGGTGCGCGGTGACTGATTGGGAGATGCAGGTTTCGTGACCGGAGCGGAGCCTGTGGTGATCCCGGCACTTACCAGCGGTGGTGCCGCTGTTCGTGGCTCCGGGAAGTGTTGCCCGAGTTCGTGTTTCCACTGTTCTGCGGTTTCTGCGGACTTGTGCGCGAGGTCATCGAATTCGGCTTGGGTGCGGCGGTGTTCGTATTTTTCTGGACTTGTTTCGAAGCGACAGAGGTGGGTGCTTTCGCCTTCTTTTCCGGCGGATCAGCCAAAATCGGGTACGCGGTCGCTTCGTCGGCGTACACCGTCTGAATCAGGCGGCCGTCGCGAACTTCGTAGTCGGTGGGAACAGGATTGCCGTTGGCGTCGTACGCCCACGGAGCTGCGACGACCGAGATCGGGTTTCCGTCCGCGTCGAAGACGGTGACTGAGCCGTCCGGATTAATCGCTCATATGCCCGCCGGGCGGGACGTCGACGGGGATTTCCGCTTCGTGTGAGGACGTCGCGTCGTGGATGAGGAAGAACGTACGACGTCCTCCGCCGGGTTCGGTGACTTAGATCTTCGACTGGCCACCCTTGACGTACTGCATCAGCGGTGAGGCGAGGGTACCGACTGTCTGGGAGAGGATCGATTCCGGCGTACGCCCACCCAACGGTATGCGTGGGCCGAACGGTGAACGACGCCCACGTACTCCGATCCCGCCGGCTGTGAATGCGGCGGCACCGAATCAACACGAGTTCGAGGTACCGGTCACGGCCGTCGCCTTTGTCGAGCCCCGAGGGGTGACCGTGGGATTTGATTCCGATTGCCCGGGAGCACTATTCGGCGTTCCAGAGGGAACAGGTCCGGGACCACGATCGGGGACCGCTGTGGGTGCGGTCGATCCAGCGGGTTGGGGTGTGGTCGGGGCAGGTCCGCTGGTGGTCGTCGGAACCGGGACTCCTGCAGGGTTCTCGATACCAGATGGTGTCGGCGTATTCGGCTGTCCAGGCAGCGCGGCGCCGGGGACGGGGACGATGGGGGTGCCGTTGTAAGCGGGGAAGTTCGTCGGCGCGTTCGCGCCGACGTTCGGGCCACCGCCCGGAGCCTGTGCACCCGGTAGTCCGACGGTGGTTGTCGGGGCCGCCGTCGGAGTCGTGGTGGGTGCGCTCAGGCACGGGTTGATGTACTCGGGCGGGACGGGGGCACCGGGTGGCAGTGACGCGATCAGGTTCAGGTAGATCTGATGATCACGTGCCCGCACCGCCGCGCAATCCTCCGCCGGTCCCGCAGTCGCAGGTCCAGCGGTCAGCGCGATTCCCGCACCGATCACCCCCCGCCACCCCGGTCAACAGTGCTCCGGCGGCGAGTGCTCCCGCGATGGACCTGCGCAGCTTCAGCACGGACTTCACCGGCGATCGCCCGTGTTCGACTTCTTCCGCGCCCGGCGATGAGCTTGTCTGCGCCCCACCAGAACACCCGGGCCCGCGATCGACATCCACAGAAAGAACGCCAGATATACGAGAATCGTCCCGTAGTCAGCCGCCCAGCCCCCGAGCCGTCCGATCGCCGCGAACGCCGCAATCAACAATGCGAGACCGAAGACGGTGGCGATCACGGCCTTCGAGGTTTCGCTCAGCTAGCTGTCGGGGTCCCAGTCGTCGGTATCCGCACTGCGGGCGCCGCGAGCAGTGGCCGGCGGCTCAGTCATCGGGCGGGACCGAGCGTGTTCAGCGTTGCGGATGGTCATGACAGAAACTCCAAACGGCGGATAGGTGAAGTGAAACAACGAGTTCGGCGGCAGCAGTCAGGGGTCTGGGTTTACCGGCCCTAGTTCAGTTCCAGTGCTGGTAGGTCTGCGCGATGTAGCCCCGGTGACGGGATTGTTCGGGTCGGACACGTAGATGCTGACGTAGCCACCCGGATGCGCAGCAGCTTCGGCGATCACGACCCGATCGGGGGCGCTGGCCCTGCCGTCGACGTTCGTGATGACCGAACCCGGTGCCCGACCAACCCACCGCTGCGAGCCGAGAACAATGTTCGCGATTGCATCGGGGATCGGGCCCGCCGCCAGTGCTGCGGTTTCCGCATTCGAGAGCGAAAGCCCAATCCGACCATGATCCGGCTGCACGATCGGGGTGGCAGCCGATGCCACGCCCCCGCCGAGAACACCGATTACGGCGATGCCTGCGGTGAGCACCCGGCTGTGGCCAAGGTACGAATCTTCATGAACTTCTCCTGTGATGGTGATTGATGGGCAGACCCATGCCTAGGGCCTCGCCTGATGAGTGCGCGCGGACACGGCGACTTGCACGGATCGGATTTCGACGGCAGCCCTGACGGTGCCCCGTCAGGCGTCTAGAGCCAGGTCGGATCGGAGTACACGAACAACGTGTTGTCCGACGTCGCCGTCGACACCGAGAGTTGTGCATACGAGCGGATCGTCACCGGCCCCATGCACGCATCAACCTTCACGTGCACGTTCTCTGCCGTGATCGACGCCTCCGACGACTCGAGATCCCTTCTTCCCCAACGGAATCGTCGTGATCGTGCCCGGCGCAATCGTCGACTGAATACTCGGATTCACCGACGCATCTCACACCCACGTTCGCCGACGGGACACCCGAAATACTCACACCGACAGACGGGCCGAGCGAAAACCAAGCCCCACGCCAAGTCCGGAGGAAACATCGATCTGGCAGCCGATCTGCAATCCCTGCTCGACATAACCGGTCTTCACCGCCGAATCGCCCGCACCACCGATCGTGCCGGTCACCTTCGCCGACACGAACCCTCACGGGTGAACGCCGTCGTCGCCAGATTCGGCACCGGGTTCGACGACAGTTTCGTGGCGGCGGGATCCAACGACCAGCCGTCATCGGTGACCGTGCTCGCGAACTTGTCCGCCAACGCCGTCGGCGTTGCCGATGCGCTCCCTGCGAAGACCACACCAGACGACAGCGCGGCAACCGCACACGCCGCGAGCCCTACCGCGGCCCTCGATCGACGGCGAGATGTTCGTGCTTTCAATTCGGTTGCCATGAGTAACTCCTACGTCGCGGACCAGCAACCAATTCGGTAGCTGAACACTAACTAGATGCAAGTTACCGGACAGTACCAAGCGTTCCGTTTTATCAACAGGCTCCCGCGACCAACTATCGGAGACTTGCGGTGAACTTCCGGTAACAGATACATATCGACAGGGCTCAGAGCAGGGAATGGGACTTAGGTCCCAATGTGGCGAACGACACCAAACTTGGACCATCCGCCCAGTGGTGACAGTCGAGCAAACGTGCAAACAAGGCACGATCCGGAGCATTTCAGCAGATTGCATGCAACGCGGTCTCTGGCGATATGGCCACGCAAACTTATTGAACGGTCAACAGTTAATTGGTGGCGCGCAGCTCATTCGGACACCTAGCGCAAGGAGGCCGCGTAAACCACGAGCCCATCTAGCCAAGGAGGGAATCGAATTGACCACCAGCCGCACGATGCGATCACCTGGAACTCTCGTCGCCGAGCGCCGCAATGGCTGATCGTTCACCACAGCACAACGAGAACCGGCAGATTGCCGCAACATCGGACGTAGCACCGAAGTGGCGAAGCCAGTGCTTCACCCGGCGACCCCAGGGCGGCAAAGATTGCTACACATCCGACTCCTCGACGCTCCTGCGCTTCGTAGGGCACGAAAAACCCAGCCCACGCTTTCGCGCGGGCTGGGTTTGAACAACGAACATTTGGCGGAAGCGGAGGGATTTGAACCCCGGTGGGTTTAACGCCACGCTCGCTTTCAAGGCGAGTGCATTCGGCCGCTCTGCCACGCTTCCGTGGGCGATCCTATCGGGTGTTCCCACGGACCGCGAAAACGGCTCCAGAAGTCAGCGCTCGCCGATGGCTTTGTCGACCTTCTCGAAGACGTCTGCCAGCACGTCCAGTTCCTGGGGAGTCAGCAGATCGACCAGATTGTTCCGCACTCCGGCCACGTGAGTAGGCGCTGCCCGGCGAGGCGACGCCTACCCTCTTCCGTGATCCGAGCGAGCACGCCGCGACCATCTTCGACGCAAGTGTCTCGCACGACGATGCCCTGAGATTCCATCCGCCTGATCTGGTGCGTCAGGCGGCTCCGCGAAGACAGCACGCCGTCTGCCAGGTCACTCATCCGCAACGACCCGTCAGCTGACTCCGAGAGCATGACCAGAATGCGGTAATCGGCCAACGACAGGTCGTGTGAATCCTGCAGTTCGCGGTTGAGAACCTCCATGAGGCGCTGATTACCGTCCATGTAGCCGCGCCATGCACGCATCTCGCATGGCGTCAGCCACGGTGTCTCACCGTAGCGCCGCCTGCGAGGTCTCCTCGGTTGTCGCTTCAGCTGTCACAGGTTCCAAGTTTAGACCTGTGTCCGCCCGTCACAGTAAGACTCACCCTAAAGTCACGAATTGGACATCAGGATCGAACGGTCGATTTCGGCGACCGATGCCAGCCCCGCCAGCCCCATGGTGAGATCCAGGTCGGCCAGGAGACTGCGCAATGCATGACGCACTCCGTCCGCTCCGGCCAATCCTCAACCCGTACACCCACGGCCGCCCGTACAGCACTGCGTCGGCACCCAAAGCCAGAGCCTTGATTACGTCTGCGCCACAACGAATTCCGGAGTCCATCAGGATGTCCACCTCATGCCCCACCGCATCAGCGACAGGACCGAGAGCGTCGAGCGCCGAAATCGACCCGTCGACCTGACGCCCACCATGGTTGCTCACCACAATGCCGTTGGCGCCGGCCGCGACGGCCTCACGTGCGTCGTCGGGATGGACAATTCCCTTCACCGCGATCGGAAGTGTCGTCCACTGGCGAAGTTTCGCGATATCCGCGATCCGCACCGCGTGATTGCCGAACAACGACACCCACGTGAGAACCGCGATCTGCAGGGCTTCTGCACTCTCCTCGGGAGGCGTCGCCAATTTGGCGCGGAACACCGGATCCGACAGATAGTTGGCAATACCCTTCGCCTGCAGGAACGGAAGGTGACCGAGCTCGAGATCCCTGGACGCCAACCCATACCGGGAGTATCGGCAGTCAGGACGATAGCCTTCGCGCCCGCCGTCTCCGCCCGACGGACAAACGACTCGGCAAGCTCGTCGTCGGCCGGCCAGTACAGCTGGTACCACCAGTTATCGCCCGAGGCCGCCGCTACGTCTTCGATGGTCGAAGACGCCGCCGTCGAGAGAATCGATCCGATCCCCAACTCGGCAGTGACCGAACCGACCGCAACCTCGGCGTCGTCGTGGACCAAGCCGAGCACTCCCACCGGAGCCGTCAGAATCGGTGCGGCCAACCGCGTCCCCAACACCTCGACGCTCAGATCGCGCGCGTCGGGCGCCGCAGTCCCCGCAACATCCGCGGCACGATCGCATGCTTGTCGAACGCCCGCAGATTCGACACCGCGGTCCGTTCGGTCGACGCGCTACCGGCGATGTACCCGAAAGCCTCTGGTGAGAGTTGCTTCGCGCGCGGCATCTTCCAAGCCCGCCGCAGTCATCGGCAAGCCGGCTTCGCGCCGCTCAGTCCCGTCAGGATAGATCTCTGTTCTGCATGTTCCCGAAGTAAGTCACGTCCGCGACGGTAGCGGCAAAACACCCGTCAGCGGGGAGATTGCTAGCGTCGTATCCATGTACGCCATAACGATCGATCAGCCCGGCGGTCCTGAGGTCATGAAATGGGCGCAGCAGCCCGATCCTGAACTACCTCGCGGGCATCGTACTCGTCGAGGTCGCCGCGACCGCAGTCAACCGCGCCGACCTGCTCCAACGTCAAGGCTTCACCGCCGCCGCTCGGCGAGTGACATTCTCGGCCTCGAATGCTCGGGTGTGATCACCGAACTCGGCGAAGACGTCACCGGTTGGTCCGTCGGCGACGAAGTCTCGCATTGCTGGCCGGCGGTGGCTATGCCGCGAGAAGGTTGCGGTCCCGGCAACACAACTTCTCCCGTTCCCGCGGGCGTCGATCTCCGTGTCGCAGCGTCTCTGCCGGAAGTTGCGTGCACGGTGTGGTCGAACGTCGTAATGCGCGGCGGCCTACGACGCGGACAGGTACTACTCGTCCATGGCGGTGGCGGCGGAATCGGCACCCACGCCATCCAGGTCGGCAAAGCCCTCGGCGCTCCGCGTCGCAGTTACCGCGGGTTCGGAGGACAAATTGAACCGCTGCCGCGAATTGGGCGCGGATATTCTCATCAACTACCGCGACAGCGACCACGTAGCATCACTGCCGAAGCCACCGACAACCACGGCGCCGATGTGGTTCTGGACAACATGGGAGCGTCGTACCTGGCGGCAACGTCGACGCACTCGCCATGGACGGCCACGTCGTGATCATCGGAATGCAGGGTGGCCGCAAGGGCGAAGTCGACATCGCCAAGCTGATGGGAAGCGCGGAAACATCACGTCGACGGGCCTGCGCGGGCGTCCGCTCACCGGCCCCGGCGGTAAAGCGGACATCGTCGCCGACGTCCGTGCGAAGTTGATGGCCGTTGATCGCCGATGGATCGGTTCAACCGATCGTGTCGACCGGAACTTCCGATCACCGAGGCGCCATTAGCCCATCAGTTGCTGGATTCGCCGGAAACCGTAGGCAAGGTCATCCTCACCGTGAAGTGAGCCGAGCGGGATCGATCAGCCCAGGGCGCCGAGTTCGGCGACCAGCTGATTGATCTCGTACCGCGTCGGTACGGCGCAAGGCCGACGGTGACCGCGCCGCCTTCGTCGTTGACACCGAGGGCGTCGAGCAGCCTGGAACCACCATGCGTACCGCTGACCGTTGCGATGCGCTTGTCGGCCAGGTGCGCGGCGACCTTGTCTGCCGCCATCCCCTCGAAGCGTGAAGCTGAGCGTAGGCACCCGCGTGGGTGCGCCGCCGATCACCATCACGTTGGGCAGGGCTGCGAGAGAACGCATGAGGTGATCGAACAGACCGTCCTGGTAGTCCTGCAGCGAGCTGATCGAGGTTTCGAGGCGCTCGCCTAGTTCCCGCTGCCGATTCGTCCGAAGCCCGCCAGGAAATCGATCGACGACGTGAGACCGGACAGAAGCGCGAACTGATGACCGCCCACCTCGAGTCGCTCGGCGCCACGCGCGTACGGGTTGAGCGACACGGCCGGAATTCGGTCGAGCAGTCCGGGATCGCGGAAGACGAGTGCGCCCACCTGGACCGCCCCACGACGGCGCGCTGACGGCAACGATGTCCGCCCCGAGATCAGCCACATGTCCACATGCGCATATGGCGCTGCACCGACGGCGTCGACCACCATCAGTCCGCCGAATTCGTGCAGAACGATCAGCTGCGGCGCGGACGTTCCGGAGCCGAACCGACGACTCCGGTGATGCGGCCGTCAAGGCCACCGAGCGAGTGGTCGAGGTGATGAGATCGTTGAACTGCCAACTCGGGAGCTCACACGTTCTCGATTTCGACCTCGGCCCATCGCACCTGAGCGCCGCAGCGACTGGCCACACGAGCCAGGCGCGACGTTCGCCGCTTCGTCGATGCGCGAGAGCACGAGACCGGTTCCGAGGCCCAACCGCGAACTCAGCGACCTCGGCAAGCCAAGCCAACAACACTGCTCGGTCTGATCCGAGAACGACTCCGCAGGATCTCCGCCGACCAGATCGGGGCCGCACCCCGGTGCGCGCACTCCGGAGAATGGCAGCACTACGACGGTTCGAGACGTGGCGACCGGAGGAAGAAGATGCAGAGGCATCGGAACGCGGTGGAGACCGTCCGCGAGACGGCGTCCGGGATCTGCATTCCGGCCTGCGGATCGAGGTGGATCCAGCCGTCACCGAGTGAGGGAATCAACCCCGTACGCGGGCAACGTCTAAGCCATGCTCGACACTCTAGGTGCAGACGCCCGCTTAGTCGAAGGCAGTCACCCAATTACCCGTCAGTACAGTTATTCGATAGCTAACTTTTGGGGTTACGCGGCGTTTGTCGCCCCACACGACAAGATGGAAGCATGACGAACCCCGACAAAGAGCAGGTACTCGTTATCGGACCCGACGGTCGACCCGTCGCGATGCCGGTGGCCGAGGCAGAGGCCGCCACCTCCGGCACCACCGAAGGCGCGGAATCCGAAGCCGGAGTCCGTCGCCGAGATGGTCGAGCAGCCGGCCAAGGTCATGCGAATCGGCACGATGATCAAACAACTCTTGGAAGAAGTGCGCGCCGCACCGCCGACGACGCCAGCCGCAAGCGCCTCAAGGACATCCACACCTCGTCCATCCGAGAACTGGAACAGGGCCTGGCACCCGAACTCCGTGAAGAACTCGAGCGACTGAGCCTCCCGTTCACCGACGACTCCATTCCCCCGACGCCGAACTGCGAATCGCGCAGGCCCAACTCGTCGGCTGGCTCGGGAAGGACTGTTCCACGGAATTCCAAACCGCACTGTTCGCCCAGCAGATGGCAGCGCGCGCTCAGCTCGAACAAATGCGTCAAGGCGCACTGCCTCCGGCATGAGCATCGGGGCTCCGCATTCGCCTGCACATCCGGACCAACAGAGCCCAGGAACCGGCCGAGTTCGTAACCCGGACCACCACTAGGTCCGAGGAAATCCGGCGCCGACGCCAGGCCGGTAGGCTCGACCTCCGTGTCAGCATCCGCAATCGAATCCGAGACGCCGGACGCACCTGCGCCCGTGTCCGGACTCCCAGACGTTCCGTCGTGCGTTCAAAGACCTTCGCGACGGTCTGAATCAGCGTGAGTTGTGGCTCAGCCTCGGCTGGCAGGACATCAAACACGCTACCGCCGGTCGGTGATCGGTCCGTTCCGGATCACGATCGCCACCGGCGTCCAGGCCACCGCCATCGGCATTCTGTACGCGGCCCTGTTGGACATGCCACTCCAGGAGTTCTACCGTATGTGACGGTGGGCCTGATCGTCTGGAACCTGGCATCAATGCCGATCATCGAAGGCTCCGAAGTCTTTGTCGCCAACGAAGGCCTGATCAAACAGCTGCCATCAGCCTTGAGCGTGCACATCTATCGACTGGTGTGGCGGCAGATGTTGTTCTTCGCACACAACCTGCTGATCTAGCGTGATCATGGTGATCGCGTTCGGGGTCTGGCGGAACCCTGAGTTAGGGCGTCGTTGGCTGCGATCCCGGCGTTGGGACTGATCGTGCTCAACGCACCAGGGGTCTCGATCGTGTTCGGAATCTTCGCCACTGATACCGCGACATCGCACCGATTCTGTCTTCGCTGACTTGCTGCTTTTCGTGCTGACACCGATCATGTGGACAACACAAAGCCTCGAGGCTCAGGGCGGCGCGGTCCGAGATCGTGCAAAGATCGCCGAACTCAATCCGCTGTTCCACTACCTGGACATCGTCCGCGCGCCGATGATCGGGCAGCCGCAAGAGCTTTACCACTGGTACATCGTCATCACGATCACGGTGGTCGGCTGGGCCGTCGCATTGCTGGCGCTTTCGCAAATACCGGGCCCGCGTGCCCTACTGGGTTTAGGGACATCGCAATGACCGAACATGTGAACATCTCAACGCACAACGCCTGCGTCGACTTCCCGATCTTCGACGCGAAGTCCCGGTCGATGAAGAAGGCATTCCTCGGTAAAGCGGGTGGCGCCATCGGCCGCAACAGTTCCGACGTTGTGGTCGTGGAAGCCCTGAAAGACATCACGATGACGCTCAAAGAGGGCGACCGTGTAGGGCTGGTCGGCCACAACGGCGCCGGAAAGTCCACCCTGCTGCGCTTGCTCTCCGGGATCTACGAACCCACCCGGGGATCCGCCACCATTCGCGGACGCGTCGCACCTGTTTTCGACCTCGGAGTCGGCATGGATCCCGAGATCTCCGGCTACGAGAACATCATCATCCGCGGCCTGTTCCTCGGTCAGACCCGCAAGCAGATGCTCGCGAAGATGGATGAAATCGCCGACTTCACCGAACTCGGCGACTATCTCGACATGCCATTGCGCACGTACTCCACCGGCATGCGCGTGCGCATCGCTATGGGCGTGGTCACCAGTATCGATCCCGAGATCCTGCTACTCGACGAAGGCATCGGTGCCGTCGACGCCGAATTCATGAAGAAGGCCAGAGTTCGGCTGCAAAGCTGGTGGAACGCTCCGGCATCCTGGTATTCGCCAGCCACTCCAACGAATTCCTCGCTCAGCTGTGCAACAGCGCGATGTGGATCGACCACGGCCAGATCCGCATGCAGGGTGACATCGAGGATGTCGTGCGCGCCTACGAAGGCGACGACGCCGCCGAACACGTGCGTCACGTGATCAAGGAGATGGAACGGGAGAACACCCTGTGAGCGCACCTGAGAAGATCATCGGGGTTGTCGTCACGCACAAGCGTCATGAACTGCTGGCCGAATCTTGAAGGTCCTCAGCACCCAGTCGCGGTCGCTCGATCACCTGGTTGTCGTCGACAACGCCGACGAAGCCGATGTGAAAGACCTCGTCGACAACGCTCACTGCCGACGAGTTACATCGGTTCTCAGCACAACCTCGGCGGTGCCGGAGGATTTGCTCGGGGCATTCTACGCACTTTCGCTCGGCGCCGACCGCGTCTGGCTCGCCGACGACGACGGGCGTCCGGAGGGCCCCGAGGTCCTGCAACCCTGTCGACTGTGCAATCCGGAACGACCTGGCCGAGGTCTCCCCCGTCGTTCGCGACATCGACAACCCAGACCGCCTCGCGTTCCCCTTGCGCCGCGGCACGTCGTAGCGCCGGTTGCGTTCCGAACTCGGCGACGGATCTCCTGCCAGGCATCGCGTCCCTCTTCAACGGTGCACTCTTCACCGCCGATGCGATCGATGCTGTCGGAGTTCCGGATCTACGCCTGTTCGTCCGCGGCGACGAGGTCGAGGTACATCGTCGCCTCGTGCGCTCCGGCCTGAAGTTCGGCACCTGCCTGCAATACTGCTTACGTCCACCCCAACGGCGCGGACGAGTTCAAGCCGATCTCTCGGCGGACGTATGCACACGCAGTACCCCGACAACGACACGAAGCGCTACTTCACCTTACCGCAACCGTGGATACATCCTCGCCCAACCGGGAATGCGGAAACTGCTTCCGCAGGAATGGGTTCGGTTCGGCTGGTACTTCCTGATCACCCGCCGCGATCCGGGCAGGACTACGCGAGTGGATGCGGACCGCGCAAACTCGGCCGGGAGAGAAAGTTCGAACGCCCGGAGCTAAACTGAGCAGTAGCACAGTCGCGTCTGCGGCTGAGACGATTCTGATCCCACCTAATACGGTGCGTCCTGAGATTTTCGAGGAGTGAGTATTGATGACCGTCGTTCCGCAGTTTCAGCGCCGTCAACGCTCACACTCTCTCTCGTACTCGAGGACACAACCACTCATGCCGGAAAACAACAGCACGCCCCTGACCGGAATACGGTTGAAACGCAAACATCTCGAACACATTCACTACCCTCTGGCCCCACTTGACTCCCGCACCCGGGCGCGTTCTTCGCGTCGACCGCGGCTACCGGTGCGATCGCGGCTTGTCGCTTGAAGCGCACAGTTCGCGCACTCAGCGGCAGCGATCCACGCGGTGCCAACTGATCAGCACGGGCGACTGGGCGACCGTCGCCGAGGTACATCGAACTCACGCGAACCCGAGATGCACATCGGTCACTCTCGATACTCCCCCGAATCAAGCAGCATCGTTCGATCCTCGGCGTCTGGAAAATCGGAAGGCCAGATTCTGGTTGGGCGGAACGTCGACACTGTCGTCATCGCCACGGCGTCGGACGGCGACGTCGATCTCGGCGACACTCGAGCGACTACTCGCACTCGCCTGGGAAAGCGGCGCAACACCCGTCGTCGCACTCAGCACCAAAATCGGATGCAGCTCAATATATCTCCGACACTCTAAGCTGAGGTCTCTCGCCATTGCGCCCGGCGCAATAGCAAGCTGGTCGTCAGTGCCGATAGACCACCGAAGCGAATGGATGTGTACCGATGGCAGTTCTGACGGGCACCGTGGCGATACTCGGTCCATCCGGCGCCGGTGTCGACGCTCGCGAACGCACTCGCGGCACCACAGGCGCCGATCGACCTCGAGACCGGCCGCGTTCCGAACTGGCGACGGAAAGGGACGCCACACCACGGTCACAGAGAGAACTGATCCCCTTCTCCGGCGCCCGGACGTTGATCGACACCACCCGGCCTGCGAGGGGTTGGCATGTGGAATGCGGCGGAGGGAATCGACAAGACGTTCCCCGAGATCGAGGAACTGATTGCAGAGTGCCGGTTCTCGGATTGCGCACACAACCCCGAGCCGGGATGCGCAGTCCTGACCGCACTCGGGCGCGGCGATCTGGACGAGCGGAGACTCGCGAGCTACCGGAAATCCTAGGCAGCGAGAACGCGTGGAACGCCGCGCGAAGCGATGCTCGTCTGCAGGCAGAGGACGCGGGAGAGATCAAGGTGATCTCCCGCCATCTTCAAGAGTCACTACCGTGGTCGGGACCGGTAGCGAAGAAAGCCTGGCAGCATGGGGTGGATCCCGACGAGAGGTTGGGTCATGTTCGAGCGGTTCCTGTTCCAGCGCCAGGACCAAGCTTCAGCGTGCGGTATCCGAGGTGGTCGAGACCGCCGACCGTCGCAACGCCGATCGCACGCAGCAGATCCTCGACGCTGCGGACACTCACGTGACGAACTGGCCGAGGCCCGCGGTGACATCGCGGGCCTCCGGACCAGGGGATCGACGAGCTGGAATTTCGTCAGCGGCGGGATCTGACCTACGCCGTGGATCTGGAAGCGACAGCGTCGACTGCCGAGTTCATCCTCGAACGACCTTCGAGTCGCGGAGACATTCGGCCACCCGCACGACACGCTGCGTCACGCATTGGGCTTGATCGAAATACCCGGCATGGCACTCGGAATTCGGCGTCGCCAGCGGAACACACTCAGGATCGTCGCGGGAGGCTTTCACCGAACGCGAGGGGACCGTCGCAGGTTTCGACGTGTTCTCCGGCCTTCCGGAGACCTGGCGCACCTGGTTCCCGGTTGGCGAGTTCGCACAGGAATCCATCCCCGAAGTGACTGGAGCGCAACTTGTTCCGGGCCCTTCGAGAACACCTTGCCCTCGTTCCTGAACGACGAATCCGGGCCCCGCTGCGTTCCTGCACTTCGACGCCGACCTCTACTCGTCCACCAAGACCGTGCTCGATCCTCGGCGACCGACTGGTCCCCGGGTCGATCGTCGTCTTCGACGAGTTCTTCAACTATCCCGGATGGCAGCAGCACGAATACCGGGCGTGGACGGAGTTCGTCACACGCACCGGCATCTCGTTCGAATACCTCGGGTACACCGTCGACAACGAGCAGGTCATCGTCGAGATCACCAGCGATGAGAATCACTTTCGTACAGACGTGCCCAGTTCCTCTCGACTCGTAAGTTCCGGCATCGCAGCACGGTACTTCGCCGACACGGCAGGTGCTTCCTTCTGGAATCGACGCAGTAGCTTCACCGTTCGGGTCAAGAGAGCACGCGCCGTAGCCTTGTCCCGCTGCCGGATACGTACCCCCGACTGCGAAGCATCGGTGACGATTACCTGGTCGAACTGCGAGATGTGCCACCAGTGCGCATCCTCGCGCGGAATATTGACCAAACCGCCACGGGTGCGCCCCAGCCACTGATTCAACCCACGTTTGGCCAGAATCACTCGCATCAGGCTCGGTTCACCACCGGCACGCTCGGTGTGGAGTTCGTCCGAGGCGATCGGGGCAGTAGCCGCATCGTGTTTGATCGTCTCGGCATACTGCGCTCTGGCCGGCACGGATGCTTGCCATGTCCTCGATGCCGCGTCCCGCAACGCTTCCGGACCGTCGAGATAATCCCCTCGATGCCCTTCAACGCGTCGTGAAGGCAAGGCTGTATATGCATTCCGACGAGGAATCGGAGATCTGGCGGAAGAACTGACGTGAAAGTCCCTTTGGTGTCGAGATCGCTGTCAAAAGACCCGACGACGAGAGGGAGTTACGCGTACTGAAGTAGCGGACCCAGTCGTCAGAAGTCCTTCCAATAGAAATCGGCATGCCACACAGCGGCGTTGGGCAACGTGACGGTGACAAACCCCTGCTTCCGGGCCCTGATTCCGTACTCCACGTCATCCCCACCGGAAGGCGACTCGGAACGGGTAACCCGATCGGCTTTGCCAACTTCGGCGGGGATCAGGCACGTCCACGCAGGCGTTGTATCCTTCAGCATCGACTCGACGCTCTTGACGCTTCTGAGCATGCTCAGTGTTGATGAGAGCCTTGGGCACTCGTTGCCCGTGATGGAGAGTCTTCAGATCTACGTCTTTGCACCGACATTGAGGACCGGGATTGAGCAGACATCATCTGCGCACCCACCAATGTCGGTTCCACTGTCATATTCGCAAAGCGTTGAGGCGCAACACTGTTTCTGGTTCACAGAGAATATCGTCGTCCATCAGATGACGTCGGCGAAATCTGCCCCCTCGGATGTAGCCTCGAAAAGCCCACGTGAAAAACCGCCCGCCCGCCGAGATTCGGCTGCTGCAGATATTTCAGCTTCTCACCGAGCTTGTCTGGCCGCCCGACGAAGCGCGCCTCGATCTTTCACCAGGTCGTTACCCTGATCGACGACGTACGGAGCTGACGAGGTCACGCACAGTGGCATCGGAAGCCAGTGCAGCAACAGTCTCGGCACAATCGTCGGCCCGATTGAAGGTGCAGATCGCCACCGAGACCGGGCGAACTGTCTCCGGAGCGGCCACGGTCCATTCCAAGTGGTCGATCGTCATCGGAGCGTCGATAGAATCCACCTCGAGCCAGAGGGCGCCGCCGTCGACGAACTTGTCCAACATGGTCAACGACTCCGAGGACCCTGATCCGTCGCGGGTCTCGAATACGGCGATGCCCGGCGATATCCAGCAAACCATCCGGACGCGGAACCGACCCTCGCTCTCGATCCGCAGCGAAGCCTGACCTCAGTGACAGTGTTGTCCACCGCCAGTAGCTGGCAGCGAAACGCCCGAAATAGGTGTTGGTGCTGGATACGTGCGCCCTTGTCCAGAGCGACCTCGGTGCTGGGTCCGCTCAATCGGAGCCCTTCCGGAACTCGACGTACAGGTCGCTGTGTTGACTATCGGCGACATCTCCGACGAACACGCCGCGCTGGACCACCAAACGGCGAGCCATGACCTGCCCGTTCTCCGGCACCCCCACCTTTACCTGCTCGGGCATAAGGACTCCTACGTGTGACCTGAAAAAGCTGTACCTGTCACTCGCAGGGTATCCGGAGGTGGAATTACCCCGAAACTCGAAAACACAGCCTCGGCTACTGTCTCTGGTGCATCCACCCGTGCGACCTGAGATCCTCATACTCGAACTACCCTGCCCCACCCGTCGGGAACGCTGGAGCTGGGGCGCTGTGATCCCAGCAGTCGTGTGCCTGCGCATTCTTCTCGCGACGTCACGGGTGGACCTCGCTACTCTATGTCGACGACACCGAATCCGGTGCGGTCGGCAACCGTCTGGCTGGGCTATCTGATGCGAGAGGGACACCCTCGCTGGTTCTGGATCAGTGGATGGCTGGAAACTATCCGGGTCGAGGGTCAGGGTGGGCTGTGGAACCCGGTCCAGATCTTCATCAACTACATCGCACCGTCCGTCGACAATCTCGCTTGCTGGCCACGCTGGTGAAGTTGGCATTCGCGATCATCCTCGGATGGGGCGTCTATCGAGCTGCTCGAATACTATGCGCGCGCTCCCTACTGGGCGGTCAGTCGCCGGAAGCGCAGTGCCCTTTGCCGGGTTCACCCTGTACTTCGAGTACCCGTCGGGCGTCGGTGATCGGAATGGCCTGGGTGGTGCAGGCGTGGGCCAGCGGAATTCGCTATGCCCGCGGCCGGTCGGGGCCGATACCCGTCTTCGTCTTCCTCTATCTCGCTGCGATCAGCGTCGGATACGTCCATGCGGCATTGATGGCCGGAGTGACCGTCGGGGCACTGATGGTGGGCGAATATGTCCGCAGTCCGCAGTGGCGGACAAACAGTGAAGCTCGGACTGGTCGGCGTCTGGCCGCAAAAAGCCTGCGGCGCGATCACCTTCTTCCCGGCCTGCTCTCCTCGGCCGTCACATGGCGCACCGGCGAAGAGAAGCGTACGTTCAACGACAATTCTCCTGACGGCACCGTGGTCGGAAACATTGACGGCGAGTATTCCGTCGTCCGTCTCGGAGAATAGTCCTGGACGGGCGAAACCACCTTACGCACCGATCACCTACATCGCCTGGTTCGCGATACCGGCACTGGCATTCATCGGCTGGCGGAGCACAGGGTTCGCTGCGAGAGTTGCGACCCCGCTGCTGCTGTTGGCCTTCATTCTGCTGTTCACCGCGGGCCCCAGCGACATCGCCAGATTCGGTGGCCGGCAATGACTACTTCCCTTCGTCGCGGTGTTCTCCCTGGTGTACTACTCGGTGTGCTGCTGAGCCGATTCGGGACTTTGGACAAACTGGGATCACGCGTCATTACCGCATGCATCAAGTTGATCGTGTTCCGTCTTGATGATTCGCGCCAGTTCTTCGGGTCCGCAGTACTTCATCCGGCATCTCACCTGGGCTGTCGTGGATCATCGCCGGCCGGCACTCGCCATCTACCTCCGGTCGTAGATACGGCGCCCCCGGCGATCGCAGGTCTACTGATTCTCACCATCGCTCCGGTGACTCTGTATCAAGTGATCGCGTATCCCCAGGCGCTGAACAAGTGGTACCTGCCGACCAGCCAATCCGGCCAAGGCGAACTTTCCGGATTTCCCGGCACGACCCTTCAGCTCGGCAATCGCGCGCTGATCCGAATCGACGCCGAAACAACAGAACTCCCGTGGACTTCGCAGGTAACCGAAACTACGCCAAGGTGCTCGATCTCGACTACGTCAACGCGTACACCCCGGTCGGCCACGCGGACTTCGCTTGCTGCTGTGTATGTGGATTCGACGGGTCGACGTGCGACGACGCCTACCGAAACGTGTTCAGGCCGGATGAATACACCGGTCGAACCAGCGCAGACCTGATGCTGCTCGACCGCGTCGTCCTTCAACGGAAGCAGTACCCGGGCGCTGACAACGAACCTGCCCCACTCCGGGTGGCACTGGGCGAAGTGCCCGAGGTCGCCCAGGACCAGATCTACGTCCTCTGAACGCGACGCCGGCCCGATCTCCGGTCAACTGGCCGTGTCGGCAACTGTCAATGCCGACGCACAGTCCGAGTACATGAGCGTCAAGAACGAGCGTGTGCGAGTCGTTCACCGGGCGGTGGCAGCGTGGTATTCGCACGGTTGGCATGGCCGGGCTACACCGCGACCCTCGACGGCGAACCCATCCCGACCAAGCGCCTTGGCGGAACGTACCTCTACGTCGATCTGCCGCCTGGCACCGACAACGCGGAACTGGTGATCAACTTCCGTTCCCCAGGACAGAGGATCGGCTATGTCGGTATGGGCTTCGCCTCGTTATCCTTGCCGGCCTTCCGTGATCTACTACCGCGACAGGCGTCAGAGCTGGACGGGACCTCCGCGATCACCACAGACTCGTTGTAGATGAACGGCTTTCCCATCCACCGCGGAAACGGGAACGACAGCGAGCGCCTGACTACAAGACCGTTGTCCGCACAGATCTTTTCGATGTCGACGCCGTCGAGGAAGACGGTATGCGTGGGATCGCTGGCGAAGCCACGTTCCTGAGGGCAGATCAGCATGACGGTCGCACCCGGTTCCAGGAATGGAAGGTACTCGGCGACGATGCCGGAAGCTTCTCCCGCCGGCAGGTGCTCGAGGAGATGCGCCATCAGCATCTCCGTCGAAGGTTCGCTGATCGCTTTCGGAGTGAAATTCCGCAGAAGAGTACGCCTCGAACCCGAGCGATCGACAGAACTCCACCGAATGTTCGTTGTGGTCCACCCCGACACTGCCAGGGGGAAGATTTCGCAGATTTCGGCCGATCCCGCAGCCGACGTCGAGCACCTTCCGGCCGCCGAGGAAACGTCGGATATTCCACTGATACGGCGCTTGCACGTTCAGAACGCGCCTTCCATTTGGCGCCTTGAAGCTCACGCAACCGAGCCGTGTACTGGTGTCGGTGGTATCACCGCTACCTTCGTATCGGCCTCCCAGGAAGGCCTGTGTTCTCGCGATTGTTCTCGCGTCGATCGTTGGTGGATCTTCGAACTCGGCCACTGGAGACTCACTTTCGTCGAGTGATCCGGATCATAACCTCACGATTCGCCGACATGTACGCCCCACGCCGAGAAGCCGACCCCCGGCGACGCATACACTCCCGCCTGTGAAGACCGATGGCACACCCGAGTCGGTGCAACCGCACCGAATTTCCGTCGTCGGCCGGTTTACCAGGGCGAACACACTCTCAATGCACTCATCGACGAGATACTTCCCTGACGAAAACCCAGACTCACTCCCGGCGGGCGGCCGTTGGTCGTCGAAGAAGTCCTTCTGTCTTCGACCACGGCCCGGACGGATCAGCTGCGGTCATCCGTGAACTCGCGAGACAACATGACTTCATCCGACCCATCTGGCTCTCGCGCAACTTCGGCCAACATCCGGCAACACTGGCGGGAATGGCGTCGAGTGGTGGCGAATGGGTTGTCACTATGGATGAAGACGGCCAGCACGACCCGGCCGACATCGGTGGACCTCGACACTGCACTGGATCAACAGGCCACCTCGTCTACGCGCAGCTCAGAACGCGGCACCCCACGGTGCGCTACGCAACGCGGCGTCGAAGTCGTCGAAATGGTTGACCACCAAAATTCTTCGTCCGAGAACTCCGTGAAGTATCAGAGCTCCGACTGGTCCTCGGAGAGGTCGGACGGTCGGTCGCCGCATACGCCGGATCCGAGGCTTACCTCGACGTGGCTCTGGGCTGGATCGCGGAGAGGTCACCACTCAGCCCGGTTCAACTGCGTGAGGAACGCGGACGCGCATCCGATATCACTCAGAAGCTTGCTGTCGCATTTCTGGCGAATGGTTCTCTTCCAGCGGCACCAAGGGCCTGCGAATGGTCAGTTTGATCGGCTTCCTGTTCGCTGTCGGCGGTCTCGTCATCGTCCTCTACGTATTGGCGTCGTACGTGTTCTCGACGCCGGCGTCGAGGTACGGGGATGGGCGTCGACGATGATCGTGATGCTGTTCGGTTTCGGGGCAGTGCTCTTCCGTTGGTGTGATCGCCGAATACATCGGTGTCGCAGTCAAGACGGCAATGGAAAGCCGCCGTACTCATCGTCAGCGACCCCGCGTCAGGCCCGTTAGCGCCGGAACGCCACCGAGCCACCCGCGTAACAATGAATGTCCCCACGTGGGTAGTCGGCAGCGGCGGCCTCCCTCGGCAGCTCCGTGGCCCGCGAACTCGAAGCGCCGGGGCCGACATCCGCACCAGCCGCGTCCCGTGGGGCGAACCCGCTCTGGCCAGAGAAATCCTGTTCGCCGATGCCAGGAAACTGGTTACTGATGCCGCCGGCGGCCCGTGGCGAATGGCGTGGTGCGCCGGGCAGGTGTGAACGGTACGAGCAGTGACGAATTCACTCGCGAGAACCAACTCATGAAGGACGTTCTCGACGAGCTGGGGACGGCGGACGCAGGCGTCGGGACCGTCTTCCACGCTTCGTCTGCCGGCGGCGTCTACGCCGGAGCTCCCGGAGCACCGCACACCGAAACAAGCGCGACCAATCCACTGGCCGACTACGGGCGAGTCAAAGCTCGATGCCGAATCCATTGTTCGCGAATTCGGCTCCAGAAGCGGAACCCGCACTGTCATAGGAAGATCTCGCAAACTCTCTACGGCCCGGGTCAGAATCTGGCGAAACCCCAAGGCCTGATTTCGCACCTCTGCCGAGGCTATCTGCTGTCGATGCCCATTTCGATCTACGTTCCCATGGACACGCTTCGGGACTACGTCTTACGTCTCCGACGCGGCCGAAATGGTGGTCGACAGCTTCACCCCGAGCGGAAGCGTCGCAGTGAACCGACGGTCACCAAGATCTACGCGTCCGGACGCAGCGTCACCATCGGGGCGATCCTCGGCGCGTGCCACACCGTCTTCAGAAAACGCCCCAACGCTGTGCTCGCCAGTTCTCCACTCGCTTCGGCGCAAGCCCGAGACCTACGGCTGCGATCGATCGTGGACTGATCTGGACCAGCGCACACATCGCCCGTTGCCTGCCGGGATAGCGTCGACCCTCGACTCCATCCGCCGCAATCTGGCTGCGCGCTAGAAGTGGTCTTCTCGCCGGCTGCCACGTATGCCCGCTCGGTCGCGTCCTTCTGCGGACGCCACCACCGTTCGTTGTCGCGGTACCAGTCGATCGTCGCTTCCAGACCACTGCGGAAGTCCTCGTAGCGCGGGGACCAGCCAAGTTCTTTCCGGAGCAGACTCGAAGTCGATCGCGTACTTCACGTCAGCCCCGGGCGGTCGGGTGACAAAATCGAACTCGTCGGCGCCACGGCCCAATATCTGCAGAATCGACTCCATGACAGTTCGGTTGTTCACCCCACCGTCAGCGCCGATCAAGTAGGTCTGACTGATCCGGCCACCGTCGATGATCGCCCAGACCGCGCTGTTGTGATCGTCGACATGAATCCAGTCACGGACGTTCAAAACCGTCGCCGTACAACTTGGGACGCAATCCGGCGAGAACATTGGTGATCTGCCGCGGATGAACTCTCGACATGTTGATAAGGGCCGTAATTGTTCGGAGCAGTTCGACAGGGTGGCCCGGACGCCGAACGAACGGGTCCACGCGCGCACCAACATGTCGCTCGATGCCTTCGTCGACGAGTAGGGGCTCGACGGGTTGTACGCGGTCGACTCGTGAAACGGTCCGGATCGCCCAGTTCGAGGTCTCCGTACACCTCGTCGGTGGAAATGTGGTGATACCTGACGCCGTGCTTGCGCACAGCCTGCAGGAGCGCGAAGGTTCCCACGATGTTGGTCTGCACGAACGGCCACGGATCAGCGAGCGAATCTGTCGTTGTGGGACTTCGGCAGCAAAATGAACGACGACGTCGGCAGCGCCCACCAGTTCGTCGACGAGAACTGCGTCGGTGATGTCAGCCGAACAAACGTGATGCGGTCGGCTATCGAATCGAGCGAAGACTTGTTGCCCGCGTAGGTCAGCGCATCGAGCACCGTGACCTCGGCGTCGGGGCGCTCTGCCACCGTCTGATGGACGAAATTGGCGCCGATGAAGCCTGCACCGCCAGTCACGAGAATCCTCACGTTTGCGCTCTCCACGATCACCGAATCGAACCTGATCTATCTACCGGCCACGCACGATACCGTGCGCCCGAGATTTGTTTCTCCAGCGAACACTGAACACTTCGAGGCATGCGCGGAATCATTCTGGCGGGCGGCACGGGGTCGAGGTTGCACCCCATCACGCTCGGCGTGAGCAAACAGCTGGTCCCCGTCCACGACAAACCGATGATCTATTACCCACTCAGCACCCTGATGCTGGCCGGGATTCGCGACATCATGATCATCACCACAGAAGACGACGCACCGCAGTTCCAGCGGTTGCTCGGCGACGGCTCGCAGTTCGGCGTCGACCTGACCTACCAGATCCAGCACGAGCCGAATGGTCTCGCACAGCCTTCGTACTGGAGCCGGCCACATCGGTTCGGAATCCGCGGCCCTGGTCCTCGGCGACAACATTTTCTACGGCCCAGGTCTGGGCAGTAAGCTCACGCGTTTCGGAGAACATCGACGGTGGCGCCGTATTCGCGTATTGGGTTTCGACCCCACGGCTTACGGAGTCATCGAGTTCGACCGCGAAGGCAAAGCCGTCTCCTGCTCGAGGAGAAGCCGGCGAACCCGCGCTCCAACTATTCGGTGCCTGGCCTTTATTTCCTACGACAACGACGTTGTCGCCATCGCCATGACCTCGAACCATCGGCACGCGGCGAGTACGAGATCACCGACGTCAACCGTGCGTACTCGAAGCTGGTCGCCTCCAGGTCGAAGTACTTCCTCGCGGCACCGCGTGGCTCGACACCGGAACTTTCGATTCGCTTCGACGCATCGAACTACGTGCGCACGATCGAGGAGCGTCAGGGACTCAAGATCGGCGCGCCCGAAGAAGTTGCGTGGCGGCACGGATTCATCACCGACGACGAGCTACGCATTCGTGCTGAGAAGCTCCTCAAATCCGGATACGGAAAATACCTTCTCGAACTCTCGACCGCGGCAAGGACTGGTGACATGGCAGATACTCACGTGATGAGCCAGTATCGCGAACTGAAAGTGCCAGGGGCCTGGGAATTCACACCCAAGCAGTTCGGCGACGACCGCGGAGTCTTCTCGAGTGGTTCCGTGAACCCGGATTCTCCGGAGATCACCGGGCCGCACCCTCGACCTTCAGCAAGCCAATTGCTCGGTCTCGGCTGCCGGTGTCCTACGAGGCATCCATTTTGCCGACGTCCCTCCCGGACAGGCCAAGTACGTCACGTGTGCCAAAGGCGCGATACTCGACATCGCCGTCGACCTCCGCGTGGGATCGCCGACCTTCGGCCAGTGGGATTCGGTCCTTCTCGACGACGTCAACCGCAGAGCGATCTTTCTGTCCGAAGGGCCTGGGCACGCCTTCCTGTCCTCGAGGACAACTCGACAGTGGTTTACCCGTGCTCGACGGGATACGCCCCCCGAACGTGAGCACGAAGTTCACCCCTCGATCCCGACATAGCGATCGACTGGCCCACCGTGGGTCGCAGCGGTGAGCCCCCTGAACATCACGCTCTCCGCGAACGACACAGCGGCACCGTCGCTTCAAGATGCCGGTGTCGGCAGGGCTGTTGCCCACGTTCGGCGAAGGCTGATGGCTTCACCGGATCTCGACTGCAACACCCCCGCCGGAATGACCGGCAGGCCGGGTCCGTTGATGCGCGTCGTCAAGAATCAGGCCCTTGCCTTTCTGCTCGTCGGTGGCGTCAACACGGCGCTCGGAACCGCCTGGTTCATTGCCTGGCAGATCGCGCTCGGCGATGAATTCGGCTACCACTTCGCGATCGTTGCCGGGTACGTCTGCAACCTGCTGTGCGCTTTTGCGATGTACCGCTACCTGGTCTTCGAAGTTCGCGGTCACTTCCTCCGTGACTTCTGGCGATTCGTCGTCGTCAATTTCGAGCCTTCGTGATCAACCTCGCGCTGATGACCGTCGCGGTCTCGGTCCTGCACTTTCCTCCCATCCCGTCACAACTCAGCCATCACTGCGGTAACCGCAACAGCAAGCTTCTTCGGTTACCGCGATTTCTCGTTCAGTCGAAACAAGAGAACAGGCAACTCATGACTCCGCGTGCTTCCGTCGTCGTCCCGGCTTACAACAATGCCGACTACATTGCCGAGACGATCGACTCGATCCTGAATCAGACCTACCAGGACTTCGAACTGATCATCTCGGATCATTCGTCGACCGACGACACCGTCAAGGTCCTGGCGATACGCCGACGATCCGCGGATCGAGATCCTGTCGACCGAGGCCGGCGGCGGAGCGAAGCGAAACTGGGACCGGGTCAGCGAAGCCGCGAACGGAGAGCTCCTGAAACTGGTGTGCGGTGACGACACCATCTACCCCGAGTGCTTGGCGGAACAGGTCGCGGCTTTCGACGAGCACCCTCGGTGGTACTCGTGGCCCCGCAACGCAAACTGGTCGATGCAAACGGAAAGACCATCCTCCCCGCGCGGACTTGCAGGGCTGAAGGGACTGGTCACCGGCGCGACGCGGCCCGAAAGACGGTAACGGCGGGAGCGAACATCTTCGGCGAGCCCGGATGTGTACTCATGAAGCGATCCGCCTTGAAGGCCATCGGATGGTGGGACGACACCAACCCGTACGTCATCGACGAAGCCACGTACACCGCCGTCGCACTCCAAGGCGACGTCTATGCGGATCGCCAAGCCCTCGCGTCCTTCCGCGTCAACGCCGGACAGTGGAGGTGCGTCTGGCCAAGGATCAGGCACGCCAGGCAGCGGCATTCCACAAAGATCTCCGGAATCGGATCCGACCTCGTCTCCGCAATGGACGTCCGAATCGGCGACGCACGCGCACTCGCCACCTCCTTCATGCGTCGCGGCGTCTACATGCTGCTGCGCCATCGCATGTCTTGACGTTGCCGGTTGGGTAATCTTCACCTTTCACACTCGATGGGATGATGACCGGCGGGACGGACGGCTGGATGACCAAACGTGCGGGCAGACGCGGTCTGTGGACGGCCGCCGTTCTCGCAGCCGGACCCGGCGCCCTCGCACTGGTCGCACCGCCTCTGACGCCTGGCACGATCGAGTCCGCCCCCGTCACCGTCATCACGACCACCCCACTGGCGCCGGTTGTTCCGCTCACCCCGGAGGAGTCTCGGCCCAGGTGGTCCCCACCATCGTCACCATCACCGCGCCGGCCGGATTCACTCACCACCGCCGGAACCGATCGTGTCTCCGACGGAGTTAGTGCTCACGAATCACCACGTCATCAGCGGAGCCCGGACGTCACTGCCGTCAGCATGTCCAACGGACTGATCTACGACGCCGAGATCCTGGGTACGACAGCGTCAGCGACCTTGCCGTCCTTCGACTCGCGGGCGCCACGGATTCGCCGGTGGCTGTGGTCGGCAAATCAGCAGAAGCCACTCGTAAGGATGCCGTCACCGCAATCGGAAATGCGGAAGGCGGCGGAGTACCCGTCCCAGCTCCCGGCGTCATCACCAATCTCGGTGTCACCGTCAACACCCGCAACGTGTCCGACGGATCGCGAAACCAGCTGAAGGGCCTCATCGAGGTCGGACGCGACATCCGGCCTGGAAGCGGATTCCGGTGGCCCTGGTCAACGCCGTTGGCGAGCTGGATCGGCGTCAGCAGCGCGGGCAACGCCGTCACCGACCGCAGCGAAACCTCGCCGGCGCCTCAGTCCTGCTCCATACCGATCGACACCGCACTACCGGGATCGTCGAGCAGGCAATCTAGGACGGCCGCTCCTCCGAGACCGTGCGTGTGGGACCGACACCCGTACTCGGTGTCGCGGTGAAGGATCACGCGGAGATGCCGGCCGGCGCGGAAGTTGTTGCCGTGAGCTTCGATTCGCCGGCCGAGCGGGTGGGGCTGACCAAAGGTAGCGGTCATCACCGAGTTCGGTGGCAGCCTGATCGCGTCGTCCGCTGATCTCAACGCGGCGATGAGCTTCCGCGCTGCCCCCGGCGACACCTGCGTCGCGGTGACGTGGGTGGACGCAAAATGCCGGGCAACTCTAATCGGTTCGCTGGTCCTCGACGAGGGCCACCTCGGCTAGTCGGACAAGGCGCCAGTCGAGAAAGCATCGTGGCATGACCACGGCCCCCTCCTGCTCACCTCAGACGGCGCCCGCGAGGCGGATGTCGAAAGCAAACTCGTCATGGAAGCTTCCACCACCTACGGCGTCGCGTCGACAATGGCGCCGTGGTCGAGCCGGTCCTCCTCGATATCGACGCCGACCTGGTCTCTGATCCGGGTCAACCTGACTACACCCAGCGCCCGACGAATTTCTTGCCGTTCTCGATCAGCTGACCGCCCTGATCATCGCCAACCCGCTCCTGATCGTCGAGCGGAACGCCCACACCGGGATACCTCACCGAACTTGCCGCGGCCGGCGTACCTCATCGTCCCAACCGCTTGATCGCTGCCGGAAAGAGCGAAACACTCACCCTCCCTTCGTTCGAGGGTGCCGACGCCATCGTCAAGCCTGCAGCGTCCGCCGGCGCTGTCGGAGTGGGAAAGTCCGCCGCCGGGTCCGGAACAGGCCCACGCTCACCTCAGTTCAATCCTCGAGTGGCAACGACGCTCTTGTCCACAGCCCTTCATCTCCGGACGTCGTAGACGACGAGCTCCTTGATCATCCACCTCGGCGGACACTCTTCCCACGCCGTCCGGAAGATTCCCGGCCACCAACGATTTCCGCGTGCAATTCCACGGCGGAACCAACTTACCTCCACGCAGCCTTCCGCCGCCGAACTCGCGGTGGCCGACGCAGCACTGGCCGCGACCTCCACGCGGCCCCGGCGAATTGCTTTATGCGCGTGTGACGTCGTGGGTCCGGTGGATCAACCACTCGCTCACGGAAGTGGAACTGATCGAGCCCGAACTCTTCTGCCATTCGCCCCTGGATCTGGCCAGATCTCCCTCGCACAGCAGCTGTCGCGTCTCCTAGTGTCTTCGAAGCGCCCGGAGTGCCTTCTGTCGACCTTCCCAAAGCAGTGAGAGAGCGGCAACGCTTCCACAATTGAAATTTCCTTGCGCCCAGATCGAGCCCTTGTAGTGATTCACGTGTGCGACGAGCTGCTCTTCGGCGTGACCGACCATCCCGCCTTCAGTACGACTTGCCGCGGTAACCGCTTTCTCCCCTATGAGGATCGGGGACACCGAATACTGCACACAGGCGGCCACCGCGGGATGATGTCCGAGTGAGTCCTCGACTTCGCGGGCGGGTAGACGTTGAATCCACTCACCGATGATCGTGTCTCTCTGATGCGGTCGACGACTCGCGATGAGCCCCAGTTTTCGTCGATCCGAGCAACGTCGCCGGTGTGCAACCACCATTCTGCGAGCGCTGCAGCGGTTTCGCCGTTCCAGGTTTGTTCCAATAGCCGTCCATCACGAGCGGACCTCGCACACAAAAGCTCGCCGGGTACGCCTGTCGCGGTCTCGTTTCCTGCTCGTCGAACAACACCACTTCGACATACCTGGCATCGCGCGCCCACAACTCCCCAGAATCAAGCGGATCGGTCCCGTGTGCTCACGTGTATCGAGCACCGTCAACGCATTCGGGGCTTCGGCCTGACCGTAGTGCTGGCTCTGTGATCGGGCCTGAACACCGCCCTGCCTGCGCGAGCCTGGCGGGGTCGATGGGTGCAGCACCGTAAAGCAATCCAGTTCAGCCCGACAGATTCGCATCCGGACAGGCGTGGACGGTCGAGCAAGGCGTAGGAGCGATGGTAGGAATCGACGAATGTAGCTGTGACTCCGTCATTTTCGATTGCGCCGACAACCCTGTCCGGGTCGAACGACCTGCGCAACTCGAAGCTGTACTCGCTGCAGACCGGGTGCGACGAGCAGACCGGCAGCATGAGACATCGGCGTGGTGAGCAGCATGGTGGTATCAGCCGGCCACTCCCTAGCCGTGGTGCAGGCCCAGGCATTGGCGACCAAAGATCGGTCCCTGAGCATGACGCCCTTCGGCTCACCGGTAGTTCCACCGGTGTAGAAGAGACACAAAGCTCGACCCTGACCGCCGAAGCCTGAACCTGTTCCCGCCGTAGCCAATCTCACACGCTGATTCGAGGGCTGACAGGTGACATCACTGCAGTCTGCGCCGCTCGGGCGCGCGCCTGGAACTGTCCGTCGGCAACCAACAGGAGAGGAGATCGGTACCACTGTCTTTCAGCACCATCCTGTCGTTCTCTTCGGTCGCGGCGGATGGAGGGGTACGCAGCACGCCTGCCAGATCACGCCGCGGCCACGACCGTGAATGCTTCAGGACACGGACCCGCAAGCAGGGCTACCCCGCCTCCGTCCGGCAGAGCAGAGGCTAATGGAGGACACCTGCAATCCGCTCTATCTGTTCAGAGGTCTGCCGATACGTCAGCTCGGCTCGAATTACCCGTTCCGATCCGTGAATCGAAACGCGATAGTGGTCTCGCGTCGGCGTCGCAGCGCCGACAGAATCAGATCCGCATATCCCGCTTGCCTTCATGTAAGCCTGGCGCCATCGGTTCATCGTTCATCATGTCCGCGGTTCATCGTGGCCTCCTCTCTAAGATCGTGACCGCGGCGACGGCTTCCTGGATGCCGTAGAGACCTCCGCCGTTCTTCTGCGACCGCGATTCGAGCCCCGTGAACCTGTCGCCGCGCCGTTTGCCACACGCAACTGCGTGACATGTCTCGAAGACCTGCGCTAGTCCCAGCCGCCGAGACCGGATGACCACGGATCTCCGAGCCCACCTGACGGATTGACCGGACGCACGCCTCCCAATGAACTCGCACCGGACGCAGACCACGCGCCGCTCCTCACCGATCGGGTAGAACCTCAAATTTCTCGACTCCGCGGTAGACTTCACCGGAGTTGCCGTGGCGTCGTGACCTCTCGCTACATCCACATCGCCTCAGCCTGACTCCGGCTTCCCTCGTATGCGCTCATTGCCGCTCCGCGACCGATGTGACTTCCGACGTCATCTGCGGCCCGGATCTCGAAAGTGCCTGACACCAAGCCGTAACCGAGTACCCGCGCTGCCTGCCGAGAGGAATCATGCCTTCGCGCAAAGTCCGCAGTGGTCACAACAATTGCTGCCGCACCGTCACTGACGGGCGAACACATCGGAACGGTCAGAGGTTACGCGACTCGCCTCGCGGCAAGCACCTCGTCGACAAGTGAAGGGTTTGCGAAAGAGCGACCACGGATTGTGCACGGACCGCATGATTTTTGGCTGCTACGGACGCGAAGTTCGAACTCGGTCGTTCCGAATCCCTCCATGTGCGCCCGAGCAAGAGAAGCGTAGATCTCCATGTGAACACCGACCGCTCACCCTTGCGATCCGAGTTCACTCCGGCACCGGAGCGGGAGAGTGAGGCAAGGCCGGCGAGCGTCCCGTCGCGATGCGCAACGTCGAGTGCACCGTCGAACACCTCCAGACTTCGAGCGTGGATCCGAGCACACCAGCTTGTCCACCCCGACCGCCAATGTGCGACCTCGACGACAGACCGGCGCGAACGTGGGCGATCGCCAGCCAGAGTGCTGCTGCTCCCGCCGGCGCGGCATTTTCGACATTGACGACCGACTCCACCGAAACCGTAAGGCCTCAAGGCGCACCGGCCTGGATCATGTGCTGCCGGTCGATCGTTTTCCGACTGATCGGTCGCGTAGAAGACTGCACCGACGTCACTGCGCGGGTCAGGCCCGCGTCCTCGACGGCGTCGATCGCTGCACGCCCCGCCAATTCCGAGGCCGAGGTATCCGCGTGCCGCCCCTGAAGGGAGTCCGCAAGCCGACACCGAGAACTATGACTTCCGCCGCTCACGCCACCACCTCGATTCTCAATACACCGGAGGCCGGCGACCTCGAAGCCCGACTACGTCTCCCGGTTCGAGGAACCGCCCGTGTTCCAAGCCGCATCCACTGGCACGGTGCCGGAACAGAAGACTTCCACCCCGGGTACAGCCGCGGGGAAGTCGAGGCTGAACTGAAATCACGTCCTCGAAACGATGGTCCATGTCGGCGCTGGTTCCTCGGTCACCCTCGTCTCCGCTGATTCTCGCGGTCATCTCGAAGCTGGAGATGCGGCCTCACCGACTTCGTCGGGCCGTCACGATCCAGGGGCCGAGGACATTCGGCGTCCCGAAAAAGTCCTTGCTCCTTACTGGAGACCGAGTCCGGTGGAGATCTCTCGAGCTGAGTATCGCGGGGGCGCTGAAATCGCTGGAAGATGGTGTAACCGAAGATATGCGCAGGGGCATCCGTTTCGTGAGATGTCGCTTCCACCGCGCCCCAACACACAGGCGAATCTCGAGTTCGTAATCGCGCAGGACTGGAAGTACTCGGGCCACACGACCAGATTCGCGTCCGGTCACCGCCAATCGGTTCGCTATGTAATACAGCGGGCGCTCTGAACCGGATCTTCGGCAGTTCGACGTCCTCGAGTGCGTGACCCTTGAATTCGGGCGCGAGCGTTGCGAAGTGATCCACGAAGCAGCCGAAGTCCCGGATCTGGACCGGCTGAGGAAGGGCGACATCCAGCGCACACATCACCCGCGTCGACGATCGCACTTGCCGCCGGCTACCTGGGTCTGCGAGCCGATCCAGGATCTCCCCGTGCCGCCGACCACCTTCGATGATGGTCCGCATGGTTTCCAGCTCTGGAGCCGGTTTTCCCGTCACATCATGATGAGCTTCGCTCGTGAGTAACAACAGCTGCTCGCCGCTGCCCGTCACCAGAGCCGTCTGCTGGGTCTTTTCGTACTCGACGGTCGCAAGTTTCAGTTGTGAATCAATAACTTTCACTGAATTGTTCGTTAGGTGAGGCGGGAATTCTGCTCAGACGAACGCGACCACACGAGCCGGGGCAGCAGACGCCGGGCTCGCGCAAGTTTCGATCGGGAAAAACGCCACGTGAAATCCCGAGGGCGGAAGCGCGGCGAGGTTCGACAGCTGCTGAACGATGAATACGCATCACTCGCGTCCGGCCCGGTGCCCGTCCCAGAGAACCGAGTTGTCGCCGGTGTCACGAAATTTCTGCGCCATGACTGCAAAGCTCAAGTCCCAGCCGCCAGCGCGTCGGTGCCCAGCACCTTTGCGCCTTGCTCGGCGAGAAAATAGCGTGCCTTCGCGACTCATCCCTGGATACTGAAAGAACCCTGGATCGGCCAAGGTGAAGCTCTCCTTGTCCGGTACGGAGCAACACGGCACCACCCTGGGGAACGGACGCACCGTTTTCCGCCAGGGCAGCCTTCAGCGCGTCCACCGAGATCGGCTGATTCGCCTCGCACCGGCAGCGCAGGTCGAGCACCACTGTCTCGCAGAACAATTCATCCAACGCGATGTCTGCCATCGTGCGAGAAGGCCACCCTCCGAGGTTGATCCGTAGTGCAACGGCGCGTCGACGTGTGTGCCCAGATGGCTGTTGAACTCACTCAACATCTCCGGATCCCCACCCCTCACCGTCCGGAAGATCACGAATTCCGCACTGCAGTGCTGCCGCGAACTCGTCGCGTCCGGCACCTGCGGGGTGCGAGAGGTCACCGAGGGGCAACGACGCAAAGCCAGTGCCTTCAAACCCTCGGGGAGCAGTTCCCGATCGGCCGGATCGAGAGTTCTAGTCAGATCGATGAGTTCCATGTCCGCCCATTTCCGTTAAGTTATTGGACGCTCAGCATAGAACTGACGATCAACATAGGCAAGAGGGTGTCGCGAGAGGAATACGGCCGTCCGATGACCGGCCTCGTAGCATGAGTGCCGGTGCGCAGGTCTCGGCCCCGACGGGCACGTCGACGTCACCGGGGCGTGCCGGAATTGGCTGCACTTTTCGAACGAAAAGAAGGCAGGAACACCGAATGGCGTCGACACGCAAGCAGGAGATTTCGAGGAAACCAGACGGCGACTGGTGAAGGCCGCAGCCGAACTGGCTGCCGAAGGCGGGTCGGCCGCTATGTCCGTACAAGCCGTGGCGGAAAGATCCGGCATCAGCCGAGGGTCTGTGGCCTGGCACTTCGGATCGAAAGACGGGCTTCTACGATCCGTCGTCGAAGACGCATTCCGGTGGGGCATGGAGAAGTTGCGCGCAGAGTTGGCATCATCCTCGGCGACCGGAATCGAAGCATTGATCGAAGGCCAACTTCGTGTTGATGTCGTACCCCCGAGGCACGAATTTTTTCTCGACCATCCCGGTCGAAGCCGTGATTCCTGGGTCCACCATCCGCGAGACCTACGCAGAGCAGTACGTCGCAATGCGGAATCGCTGTACTAGCGGACTACCTGCGTCTCGATCGACACACACCTGGTCGCCAATCCGGAGCGCTGGTTGCCGTCACCCTTCTGGCCGGCACGCCCCGGATCAACCTCCAACATCGCCTCGATCCCGACAACAGTCGATCGACGTTCGGCGGTAACCGAACTCGAATCGATCTATGCCCGCGCGATGGCATCTACCGCAAACGTCAGGGCACGAGAATCCGGCAGCACACGAGAATCCATAGGCGAACCGGAAGTTCAACTTCCCGAAACAACTTCGCCCGCAGCCTGGGGTGGGACCGCATCGAGCCTGGTGCGAATGAATCTGGCGACGTCGCGCAACGGCAGCTCCGGCTTCCTCCGGCAAGCCAGGCCACACGGCGGGAAACGCGTGAACCTGGCACGTTCCAGATCTGCAGGGCGAGCATGGCACCCTGCGGCGGCGAGCCGTTGCGCCATCACCTCCGAATTAACCGACTCTGAGCACCTCGGATTCGGCGGCAATCAGCAACGACGGCGGGCAAAGCGGCAAGATCGCCGTCGACGGGCGAGTTCGTCTCGTCCAGCCAAGCTTTCCGATCGCCACATCAATGCCGACACCGGGGCGATCACGTCGCGTCGAGCGCGTTGGCATTGACCGATTTGGCGGTGCAATCGAGATCGAGGAGCGAAGCGAGAGGCCGACAAGACCGGCCGGAAACCCCGAGCCCCGCGGGAAACTGGGCTGCAAGCGCCGTCGCGAAGACCAGGAAACCTCCGGCCAGAATCACCAACGAAGACAACCTTTTTCCGGCAGCAGGCTCCCTGTTCGAGAGGCCACCGGTACGCATCCAGGCAGTCGTCGACGGACCCTGCTGATGCCTTCGTGCTCGGCAACCGCCGATATGCGATGTGCAGGACCGGAAGGCCGGTTCTTTTGGCGATGCCGGCAACGACCGGCCGATGCGTGCTGAGCCTGCGCAGCACATGAACCCGCCGCCGTGCAGGTAGAGAACTACACCCTCGCGCAGACTCAGCCGTCGAGCCTGCCAGTGCGCACGAGTTCGCCGTCGAAACCTGGAAAACGAATCGCTTCCCGATCGATCCCGGAGGGAATGGGTGCACCCGCGGCCGAGTCCAGAACTGCGGCGCGGCGCATTGCGCCATGTCAGCGGCGCTGATCCCAACTACGGGCCGAAGCATCCATCGACACAAGCGTTGTAGAGGACCTGCGATTCGATAATACTCGGCCCGCCGTATCGAGTTCCGGTCCTACGACTGACTGTCGGCAACAGAGACATCTGTCCAGGATTAGAAGCGATCAGGCACCGAAGAGTGTCGACTTCGTCGAGATCGTCGACGATCGTGACCTTTCGCTCCGCCCGCCGATTATTCCTTTGGTTCCCAGACCGCGCAGTCCACCGGACTGAGCTGAGCGGGGTTCGCTGGCGCAGTGGCGCGGTCTCTCGTCCGCGCTGCGCCTGTACGCCGGGCTTGCAAGTGCGGGAGCTGATGCCGGTGCCTCCGGAAGCGACGGCGCCGCCGGAACCTCGGGCCCGGGAATCTTCGCTGGAACGACCGCTTCCGGCTCCACGAAGCCCTGAGCAACCGGGGCCCGGGCGCGACTCCTCAGCGACCTCAGTCCACCTGCTCCACCTGCACCGGTCCGTCGATCACCGGGATGTCTCGACGCCCAGCGAACCCGATACCGAGGCGCCGCGCTGACGCCAGTTCACGTGCGAGATCCGCGCGCGCCAGATCCCGTCTTCTCGCCGCTTCGCCGTATGCCCAGTGCGTCGGAATTGACTCCAGATGACGTCGACCTCCAAGTTACGGTCGGCGAGATCGAGCACGGTCAGCCAGTTCACAGCGTCGCCGGGCAGCCGTCTCTCTCTCTTCTTGTCGGTATAGAGTCGACGCAGCGAGATCGCCCCTCGGCCACCTCGAGATGCGACGTCGACTGGATCGACTTACTTCGACGCCGATCGCCACGAGGTCTTCGATCACGTCGTCGACGTAGCCGTCGGCCTTGTCGTGAGTCAGTGTCGACGAACCTCGTGAGGTCAGCGCCGCAAACCCCAGTCGGTCGTACATGCGCGCCTGATCACCAGGGGCCGCGATCATCTCCGCTGATTCCTCGCGGTAGCGGCTCGCAACTTCGAGGACGACCACCGCGCCATGACGCGGTGTCCGGAGTGCGCGAGCGTCGGCGATATGTCGAACCGCGCCCTGGTCAGGGCCGAAGAATGAGAACGATGATCATGGGGTCGATTCCTCTCTCGAGAAACTGACGGAACGCTAATCCACTCGAACCGTTATCGGATCTTGAAGATCACTGCCCGCTGAACGATGGTAGTTGATAACCGTCGCGGTGCCCTGCGCGATGATCGAAGCGCCAGCGGCATGCGCCACCACTCGTCGGCATACACCATCAGCGCGTTGGAGCCCGACCTGAACCGCAGGCGACTGCGTACAGCACGACAACAGCGATGAAGCAAGGCGAGAAGGCTCGGCCTTGAACGTCTACCGCCGGTTAGATCAGATACGCCGTCGTAGTGCCGGCGATAAAGCTGATCGATTTCGGCCATGCCTGGATCGAGGCTGACGACTCCAACAGGAATGCGTACAGCCTGTAGTCCACGACCGCCGACAGCCCACCTGTCGCGACGAACCGGACGATCTGCGTTTTCAGGTCCAACGCGTCGTCGGCGATGTCCGTCGTGACAGGAATCTCGACGGGCAGCGGGACGTGGGTTCAGCAGGATTTGCAGGTGTTTTCGGGCACGACGACGAGAGTACCACCGAGCCGGAGCCGTCGGCACTACTCCCAGGTGGTCTTCACCTGATGTCCACGACAGCAGAAGAGACGCCGCAGCCGGCTCTCCACACCCAAGCCCGCACTCCTCACCGGTTGGGGACGCACCGCCGCCACCACCGGCATTGCGGTGCGTCCACCCCGGGATGGGAAGTGATCGCCAACGCGTCGCCCAGGTTGGTGGAACAGAATCTCCAAGCCATCGCATCTGCGACGCGGCGTCATCGCGCGCGGCCCGGCCGCTCGCATGGCGACCTCGGCGCAGAACGCCGGCGGGCTGGTCATCGACATGAATGCATTCTCAGCCGCATCGTTCATCGCACCGATCGCGACGCCTGGCTCTGGTGACGTCGACGCCGGTGAATCTGACCAGCTTTGATGAAGGCTGTTTCGGCTGTTCGGCTCAGGGTTCCGGTCCTGCCGGGTACTCGCCAGGTCACGATCGGCGGCGCCATCGGCTCGGACACATCCACGGCAAGAACCACCACAGCAGGTAGCTTCAACCACGTCAAAGTCGTTGATCTACTGACGGTCGACGGCAAAGGTTCGCACGCTCACCCCCAAGGGCGGGCGTAACGACCCGAAGGCCGCACTGTTCTGGGCACGATCGGCGGCATGGCCTGACGGGCATCATCTTGCGGGCAACCATCAAGATGACACCGGACCGAGACGGCGTACTTCATCGCCGACGGCGACGTCAACAGCCTCGACGAGACCATCGCGCTGCACAGCGACGGCAGCGAGGCCAACTACGAGTACTCCGAGCGCCTGTCTGACGCGATTTCCGGGTGCCCTGGAAGCTCGGCCGTGCGGCAATCTCGGCGCGGATCTCTGGCGAAGCTCGACCAGCTTCCGCCAAGCTGCAGAAGGACCCGCCGCCTTCGATGCGCCGCAGCTGCTGACGTTCCCCTGACGCCTTCCCAACGGCTGGCCAACAAGTTCAATCACCGCGATTGCGAGGTCTGGTTCCGCAGTCCGGCAATCGCGGCAAGTCCAGAATTCATCGCAGTTTCTACCACCCGCTCGACATGTTCGGTGAGTGGAACCGGGCGTACGGATCCAACGGATTCCTGCAGTACCAGTTCGTGGGTTTCGCCGAGGCGGCTTCCGGAAGAGTTCAAGAAGATCATCACGACATCCAGCGCAGCGGGCAATTACTCTGCCCTCAACGTGCTCAAGCTCGGCGAGGCAACCAGGCGTCGCTGAGCTTCCGATCCCGGGCTGGAAAAAGCAATACGTAACTGAAACGGGGCGGCTACC